TGCAGGGGCCCATCCGCAGGCTCGGAGGCCAGCACCGCCAGCAGCGCCTCAGCGGGCACCATACTGACCACACTGGGCCAAAAAGCTTCCGAGGGGTCGTTTCTAAAATTGCAATTTTGACAAGAAAGATCACATTTAGCCTTTCTGATAAACCTATCTGTTCATCCTGAATCAACCATCTTTAAAAGATGAAACTGACCTCCAGAGAGAGCCACTGGATGGCTGGTCACATAGAGAGGGTAGACTTTTCACCAGACTCTCCCTCGGTGAACCTGTGTTACCTACCGAAGAGATCTAAAAACTGATTTTTATCAAGTTAACTTAACAAATCTGTATTTTGAGAAAAGCCTTTATTTTCCCTAAAAAGTTTATTCTGCAAAACTAAGGAGGCAAGAAATTATTTTAGAAGTGGGGTGCCTGTGTGGCTCAGTTGGCTGAGCGTCTGACTTCGGCTCAGGTCATGAACTCCCGGTTCTCAGTTTCGTGAATTCAAGCCCCGCGTCGAGCTCTGCCAGAAGTGCAGAGCCTGCTTCGGATCCTGTCTCCCTCTCTCTGCCCCTGACCCCTCCTCAAAAGAAAATAACATTAAAAGTTATTTTAGCTTGGCATTGTAAAGTCAGGCCACTTTTACTTACTTTACTTAGAGTAACCCACGTACATCCAAACACTACTGATATGTATAAATTAAAAACTCAAAAGGTGGGGCATGGGAATTATATGGTAAAGCTGTTGAAGAAACTTTTAAGGTAAAATCTGCCTCCTTTCTCTAAGACATAGAGGAACCTTCTTAGCTTCATAAAGCCACATTCCACCGTGTTACAGAACAACTTAATTATTTATTTTTGTAAAGATTTTATTTTTGGGGGGGGGTGCCTGGGTAGCTCAGTCAGTTGAGCGTCCAACTCTTGGTTTCGGCTTAGGTCATGATCTCTACATTTGTGGGTTCGAGCCCCACGTCAGGCTCTGTGCTGAGAGCACAGAGCCCACTTGGGATTCTCTCTCCCTTTCTCTCTGTCCCTCCCTGGCTCTCCCTCTCTAAGTAAATAAACTTCGGGGCGCCCGGATGGCTCAGTCAGTTAAACGTCTGACTTCAGTTCAGGTCATGACCTCATGGTTCGTGGGCTCTGTGCTGACAGCTAGCTCAGAGCCTGGAGCCTATTTCAGATTCTGTATCTCCCTCTCTCTCTGACCCTCCCCTGCTCCCGCTCTCTCTCTCTCTCTCAGAAGAAAAAAAAAAGTTGCAATGAGCATCTTTTGTGTATACATTTGCGCATATCCCTTAGATATGTCCCCTGTAGTGTAGTTTTTTAAAGTTTTTACTTTGAGAAAGAGAGAGATCATGTATCTGTGCACAGGGAAGGGGGAAAAAGAGGGGTACACACCCAATGAGGGGCTTCATCCACAAAACACAAGATCATGACCTGAGCCAAAATTCAGAGTCAAATGCTTACCTGACTGAGCCACCCAGGCACCGCCGGCTAATAAACATTTTAATTTGAGCCAGCTTTAAGATCAAAAATGATTTTTAAGGAGTTGAGGGGAGAGGCGGTTACCTGTTTCACTGAAAAATTCCCATGCATGATATATTTTCACACAGCATATACAAAAAGGTCCTTTGACCCACTCTAGCCCTCCAACCAAGTTAAGAGTGTTCATAATCTCTAAAATGCCTCTCTGCACATCTAAACATGTCAAGAAGTATACACCATCCTTCCTTGTTAAAAAATACACACTATGGAGGAGTGCCTGGCTGGCTCCGTCAGTAGAACAAGAAACTTTTTTTTTTTTTTTGAAACTCTTAATCTCAGAGTCATGAGTTCAAGCCCCACACTGGGCAAAGAGCTCACAAATAAATACAGGATATATGCAATTTACGACAGTATTTTAAAAAAATACTATGGAAGCATCATATCACACTTCGCTTATCCACTTAATCTATCTTGCAGATTAATTTCACATCAATGGTTCAGCTCAATCCTCTTTTCACGGTTTTACTTCATTCCATCCTAAAGAGCAACTACGATTTAGCCAGTCCCTTGTTGAGAAAGTCTACTTGGTTCCTGTTTTCTACAGTTATAAATGCTGTAGGAATATTCTAGAACAAATTTATCTTTGTACATATGGAAGTATTATCAGTGAGATATAATCTTAGAACTGGCCATACTGGGATCCACTTTCACATCTCCAGATGCTGAATTACCCAGGAGGTGCATCAGGATTACTTAATTCTTCATTTCTTTAGTTCTGAGTGAGGGTGAGCACCTACCACAGGATTAGATGCCCATGAGGAATTATCCTTTTCTATTCTTTGTCCGCTTTTGGTTGAGCCATTGACACCACTCTTGTCAGTTATGATGAATCTCACATATAAAGATAACTAGCTGGTCATCATCCACACTGCAAATATTCTGTCTCAGCTTATTCTCATTGTGTGTTAGGCAAGTTTTATTTATTTTTTTGAAGTTCTTTCTACACCCAGTGTTGGGGTCAAACTCATGACTCAGATCAAAAGTCACATGCTCTTCCAATTGAGCAGGCCAGGCACCCCACGTATGGGTAGTTTTGATACAAGATGACAAAACCCAGGTAGGTTCCCCCAAAAACTCATTTTGTGGCAACCCACCTGGGTATTTTCTTACTGGCTGGTACATAGTTTTCAACACTGTTCATTAAAAAAATCTACTTTCTCCAAAATGGCTGAACATATCTCCTTTAAAATACATAACGTGACTCTATGTGTTTCAGCCTCTGGTTCCAGTTCTTCTGCTAATCTATTTCCTAGCTTTAAAGTCATCAGGTAGGGGTGCCTGGGTGGCTCAGTTGATTAAGCTCCGACTTTGGCTCAGGTCATGATCTCGTGGTTTGTGGGTTGGAGGCCCGCGTCAGGCTCTGCGCTGACAGCTCGGAGCCTGGAGCCTGCTTCGGATTCTGTGTCTCCTTCTCTCTCTCTGCCCCTCCCCTGCTCATACTCTCTCTCTCTCTCTCAAAAATAAATAAACCTTAAAAAAAAAAACCAAGTAATTAAAAAATAGATTCATCAGGTCATTTAAAAAATGCACGGACATTCTAATTTAGCAGAAATGCCAAGACTTATGATCCAGAAAACATTACTAAAACTGAGATTTCAAAATATACACTGGTGTATCAATTTCTGAAACCTGATACACCAAGATAATGCCCTCTTCACATAAGCATTTTCAGGTTACTGAAGAACGAAAACTTACAATACAGAAAAATTCCCTTTCCAATCCTCTTCTGTTAGTTGAGCTATTGCTAAAGGCATTTTTTTTTAGTTAATTCAAAGATTCAACACTGAGAACACACTGTGGCTAAAAAATGAATCTGAAAAAGAACTGTTAATTTTTTTAATGTTATTTTTTAAATTTACTCCTGAGAGAGAGGGAGAGTATGAGAAGGGGAGGGTCAGAGAGAGAGGGAGACACAGAATCCGAAGCAGGCTCCAGGCTGACCTAGCTGTCAGCACAGAGCCTGACGCGGGGCTTGAACCCACGAACTATGTGAGATCATGACCTGAGCCGAAGTTGAATGCTTAAATGAGCCACCCAGGCGCCCCAATTTTAATAACTTTTAAGGCTACTGGATTAAACAGAATTTACTCAAGTTATAATATATCCTTAAAAAACGGACTTTGGCGAGGAGGAAATGCCTTTCTTTGGGTTTTGCTTTTCCCTGGCTTCCTCACACCAAGTTCTGCCCCTTCCCAGTCTTCACTCAGAAACATGAATGGCATCAACCCCCACTCATGTATTTATTTAGAGAGAGACAGGGTGTGAGTGGGACAGGGACAGAGATACAGGGAGAGAGAATCCCAAGCAGGCTCTGCACCACTAGTGCAGAGCCTGAAGCAGGGCTTGAACTCACAAAACTGTGAGATCATCACCTGAGCCAAAACCAAGAGTTGGCTGCTCAACCTACTGATCCCCCCCAGGGGTCCCTGCATCAAATGCTTTCACTGACCTCTAGTCATACTAGTGATGATTAGAGAAAAGAAAAAACTTACATGGAGTGACTCTAAATCCTCCATTCTCAATGGAGAAAGGGGTGAAAACTGGGCTTAAAGGGTGAAAAAAAAAAGCCTTACATATCACAATGGTTTGTGGCTTGGAAAGGACCACAGCACGTAAGCTAATATGCAGGATTATCTATGGCAACAAAATTCTAGGGAGGGGTAGGGGATATTAGGAATAAAGATCTAAAAGGGCTCCTTTGGGAGGTAACAATTTTTTTTTTTAGTTGTGAAGTTCCATTTTATAACCCCTAAATTGCAATATTTAACACTACTACTGAGGTATAAATTGATATCATGGCTTCATCAACAACAGAAAAATAACAGAAACAACACAGAGAAAAAGAACATTACAGAACTATCTTGCAGGATAAACACATGCATCCCCTACAAGCCAGCAATTCCTTTCCTTGGAACAGACCCTAGATAAATCCCAATACATGTGCACCAGAAAGATATTCAAAATACTGTTTGTAACAGCAAAAAAAGGAAGGAAAAAAAAAAAGAAAAAGAAAAACCTAGAAGCAACCCAACTGTCTATGAATAATGAATGGACATTGGGGAACACTCAAGCAGCAATGAAAATAAACCATACCCAACAAAATGGTTACACAGAGACACACTAAATGAAAAAGATTATCAAATATTCCAAGATCTATGCTATGAAACGATTTTTCTAAGGCTTAAAAACAAGCAAAAATATAATGTTCAAAGAAACATAATAATGTGTAATAAAAAACACTGTAAAAAGGAAAGGATACATATAAAATGCACAACAGTGTGGTGGGGGGCTAGACAGACAGGTAGATAGATACCAAATGATGTTGGCCATATTCCAGCTCTAAGGGAAAGTGACAGCATAGCAAGTATCTCTCATTATTTTGCTTCATAACTTAACAAATCTCACATTATTCTTGTTAGTTGATATTTGGCTCTTCACAGTAGGGACGAATTAACACCAAATAAAACTTACATCTAATTCAAAAAACAGGTCCCTTTCTTTACTTGCAATCTCATAGTCTGCTCGGAGGGCCAAGTCGTGGATTTTGGTACATTCTCCTAAATCCATGCGCTGTAAGAAAGAAGCAAAAATTTACACATGAGCATCTATTCGTTGTAGAAAGCACATGACCTGCTATTTCAACTGTCACCAAAATAAACAGTATCTCTTTAAATACTAAACTAGAATAAAAAAATTAAGAAACCACATATAGCCAAGAAGCCTTACATTTCTTTCACCACAATTATGACACTTGCACACATTTAAGCATGATGCTTTGTGTCTCTTTTAAAGCCAGAAATAGTATGAGAAATAATGAAAACTACATCAATTAGGTTTTGCTAGTTTTACTTTGCATCAGCCATAGAAGAAACGTCTATTCAGTGAATCATGGGGGAGGGGAAGGAGGCAAGGAAAAGGCCATAAAACAAGGTATCATCACTATCAACAAATTCCTAGGCATTGTTTCCTGTAATCCTCACTACTCAAGATGCTCAATATCTAAGATGCAGAGACCAGGAAAAGGAAAGAGCAGGCAGCAATCAGGTTTTGGCAATTATAATACAACCTAATGCTTAGTTCTGTGTAGCTCTTTGTATACCAGAAGGCATAAAGCAGAATAGGGCAATTCAGAGCCAAAAGAATCCTTCAAACATTCTCCTAACCTAGTAAATGACCCCTGATAGAACTGGGAACATAGACTGGGCCACAAAAGGCTCTTTTGTTAAAAAAAAAAAAAGACCTGTGTTACCAGTAACCTTAGCCTGGTGTGCTATTGTCTGTTGTACACACGTTAACAATTCGACAACAGAGCACATTCCTTAACTAACTTCTGAGAGTGGGACTCTATGCCGGCACCCACCACCCGTGCTATCAGGAGCGCACAAGGAAAGTTTGTATGCTAAGGCTCATGCTATCAAGCCAGACAGTGCAAGTTAACAAAAGCCAACACCACAATGAGGAAGACACCTCTGAAATCCAAACACTGGGGACAAAAGCACAGGTCTACATAACTAGCAAATAAAGAATGATGGAGTCCACCTGTAAGCCCAAACTACAACTATGTCCAAAATGAACTTAAAAACTTCATAAAGTCCTTCATATCTTAGGCAAATGAGGGAGCCTGGCAGCACCTAACTCTTGAACCACGGTCCCACAGAAGGTGTATGACATGCTCACTAAGAAAACATCCTTTATTATCACCAGTGAGAACCAACAGTGCGCTCCCTAGTCTGGGGCTTATCTTCATTTGGATCAACTTCTGCATTTAAATGCTAAAGACCTCTTTTCTCTTTCATTATTCTGTTGTTTTTTTTTTAATGTTTTTTATTTATTTCTGAGAGAGAGACAGTGTGAGCAGGGGAGAGTCAGAGAGAGGAGATACAGAATCCGAAGCAGGCTCCAGGCTCTGAGCTGACTGTCAGCACAGAGCCTGACGCGGGGCTCGAACCCACGAACCGTGAGGTCATGACCTGAGCTGAGGTCGGATGCTTAACAGACTGAGCCACCCAGGTGTTCCTCTCCTTCATTATTTTTATTGTGGAGTCATATGTAGCTCACATCTGCTGGTTCACAGTGGCATCTAGAGACAGGGCAATAAGTAGTTCTAGAAGCCAAAGTTGCAAATAGAATTGCTGTCCCTATACTGTTGACAACTTTTGCTTCATTTACTCATAAGTATTCTTCAAAATATAGTCTCCACCAAGCACTATAGCTGCAAAATAACTCTGAAAACACCAGGAAGGCTAAAAAGCTAATGAAAGATCTGTCTCCAAGAAAACCTACCGCCAGAGGAAGCACTAAAACCTTAAGTACTAAGCCTCAAGCACGTGAAATGTAATCATGATTTCAGGAATAGAATTTAGTGATTCATCACTTACATGTAACACCCAGTGCTCCTCCCAACAAGGGCCCTCCTTACTGCCCCTCACCCCTTTAGCCCGTCCCCCCACCCAACATCTGTGCATTTAAGGGTCTCCTCTGGTTTGTCTCCCTCTGTTTTTACCTTATTTTTGTTCATGTTTTCTTTTTTGTTGTTGTTAGCTTTTATTTATTTTTGAGACAAAGAGAGACAGAGCATGAACAGGGCAGCAGCAGAGAGAGAGGGAGACAAAGAATCTGAAACAGGCTCCAGGCTCTGAGCTGCCAGCACAGAACCCGATGTGGGGCTCGAACCCACAAACCGCAAGATCATGACCTGAGCCGAAGTCGGACACTTAACCGACTGAGCCACCCAGGCGGCCCCAACTGTTTTGTTTCTTAAATTACAGATAGCAGTGAAACCATACGGTATTCGTCTTTCTCTGACTTATTTTGTTTAACAAATACACTTAAGTTCCATCCAAGTTGTTGCAAGTGGCAAGATCTCATTCTTTTTCATCATCTAATAACATTCCGTTGTATATAAACCACATTTTCTTCATCCATTCATCCACTGATGGACACTTCGGCTCTTTCCATATTTTGGCTATTGCCGATAGTGCTGCTATAAACATTGGGGTGCATGTGGGGGCGCCTGGGTGGCTCAGTCGGTTAAGCATCCGACTTTGGCTCAGGTAAGATCTCACAGTTCGTGGGTTCGAGCCCCACGTCGGGCTCTGTGCTGGCAGCTCAGAGCCTGGAGCCTGCTTCGGATTCTGTGTCTCCCTCTCGCTCTGTCCCTCCTCTTCATGCTCTGTCTTTCTGTCTCAAAAGAAAAATAAACTATTAAAAAAATTAAAACAAAACATCGGGGTGCATGTTCCCCTTCAAATCAGCGTTTTTGTATCCTCTGGATAAATACCTGAGTGGCTCAGTTGGTTTGAGCCTCTGATGTCAGCTCAGATCACAATCTCACAGTTTGTGAGTTTGAGCCCTGCATCAGGTTCTGCATGGACAGTGCAGAGCCTGCTTGGGATTCTCTTTCCCTCTCTCTCTGCCTCTCTCCAACTTTGCTTTCTCTCTCTCAAAAAACTGTCTCAAAAAAACTGTCAGGTAAATTTGGACATTTTGACCCACACAGGAAGAAAAAGTCCACTGCTGTCCTCCTTTGGGTGAGAACGCTCAGGCAGCCCCTGCAATGCACGCAGTGGACAAGGCTGGTGGGTCCTGTGGTTCCTCCGTCTCTACACTCTCAGCTTTGCCCAAGGAGGCAACAAAGTACTGGCTACTGTCCCTGGCAGCTGAACACCAAGCAGAGCTGCAAGGCCACACGATGCCCTTCCAGAAGATTTCAAGTGGCTGTTAAATCCAGCATGTCAGACCTCTTTTACCAAACAAACATGTGTGTTCTCTACCTCCTCATGGTCTCACACTGCTGATAGGGCAGGAACTAAAGGCTCCTTCCAGAATATTTGGAAAACACGTTTTTCCACCGAGACAAGTTATACTACCTTCCCTCCAGCTATCTTACTCTCCCAAACTTAGTAACTAGTACTGTCTTTTCCCATTAAGCCACTTCTTTAAAGTTTATTTATTTTGGGGCATCCGGGTGGCTCACTCAGTTAAACATCCAACTCTTGGTTTTGGCTCAGGTCATAATCTCACGGTTTCAAGGGTTTGAGCCCCGCGTTAGACTCTGCACTGGAGGAAGGAAGCCTTTTGGGATTCTCCTTCTCCATCTACCCCTCCCCCACGTGCACTGTCTCAGTCTCTCTCAAAATAAAGAAACTTAAAACAAAAAATCCAAAAAGAAATAAAACTTCTTTACTTAGAGAGAGAGAGAGAGAGAGAGAGAGAGAAAGTGTGCACACAAGTGGGGGAGAACAGAGAGAGGGAGACAGAGAATCCCAAGCAGGCTCTGTGCTGTCAGCACAGAGCCTGGTGCGGGGCTTCAACTCATGAACCATGAGATCATGACCTGAGCGGAGATCGAGTCAGACGCCTAATTGTCTGAGCCACCCAGGGGTCCCATAACCTTAATAAAATTGTAACATCCATTCCTCCTTGCCTGATGCTTAATGGCAGGAGATGGTTCTGAGCAACAACTTAAGCCTGGAGCAGCCCTTGGAAGACTGAAGGTTATAACCACCTTCCTTTAGCCACTATACTTTTTTTTTTTTAACGTGTTTTTTTTTGGGGGGGGGGCAGAGGGAGGGAGGAAATATAAGCAGAGGAAGGGAAGAGAGACAATCCCAAGTAGGCTTGGGAACTGTGAGATAAAGACGTGAACCGAAGCCAGATGCTTAATGGACTGAGCCACCCAGGCACCCCTAGCCATTATACAGAATCACGTTCATTCCGTTTCAATTTGACACAAAACACAAACTCCTCAGAAGACCCATCATTCAATTCTACCCATTTCCCACTCTGATGTAGCCCATACCAGTGAGCCTCAACCTTTACAACCACCTCCCTCCAATTTTCCAATCCTCATCCTAATAGACCCTCAGCAGGCCCTGACATTGTTGATTTGTATTTTCACAGTAACATGGATTCGCCTGGGTTTTCTCCTCCTTAGTCTGCTTCTTCTTAGACTCCCCTTGGGGAGCTACCCCTGGCCAACCCCACCCAGAAGTGACCCTGCTCACTCCATGCCTTCTCATAACTCATCTGATCCAACAGCCCCTGCCTGCCTCTCCCTCTCCCCACCTCAGACACACCAGCAGATTCCTGCCGTCCCTGAGCTCCACCTTCCACCCAGGGCATTAAAACCCCCAACCATGCTCATGGTCCTTCTCACCATTCAAGTCTCTGCTCCAAAATCCCTGAGAGGCCTTCTTATCACTCTACCCAAAGCAATCCATTAATGGTCTGCCCTCTTCCTCCACTGGACAGGCTCTATCTTACTGGCACCATTTCCCCAGTGCCTGGCACCCAGCTGGCATCCAATAAACATCTGCGGAATTAATCTGTACCTACAATAAACAAGCAAGAGCTTGTAGGAAATGCCCTCATTCTCTTCATTTTTCTCACCAACATTCTGGAACAAAGCTACCCAGGAATCTGACCTCCCCACTCGAAACACTGAAATGCAGAATTCTCATGAACATCCATCCCCCTCTGCTCCTTCTGGCTTCTCTCAACAATTCCAGGTTGTGATGCCTCCCCCACAGGATCTTCCTTCAGCTGAACTCCTTTTAACCAGTGGAAACCATTAATCTACACTGACGGTACCCACAATTTGGAGCAAAAGCTATCTCTACATCAGGTCAAACGACAGGCAAAAAAACCCCTCAGATGACAAACGCATAGGTGTGAAATTCATTTCTTATTTGTTCTCTGAAGAGTCAGCTTGAGAAGACTTAAGACATATGAGTGGTTTTCCGCGGGCTGCAACCCCAACAAGGGTAATAACAAAAGCAACGATCGTTTGATCCTTAAAATGAAAAAACAAAATAAAATAAAACGAGTACAGTTTTTATACTTCATAAGGTGGCTATGCAATCTGAAAATGGTGGTTATCTTTAGCGGACTCCTTTTCTGTAAAGAGCTGAATCACGGTAGATAATTCTCCAGTCCTAAGTCTTTTTTGATCCTATCTGATTTTAAACAAACGCACATTCCATAACACTAGCATTTATTTGTTTGGCTTGTCTCAAGTGAACACAAAGTTTTAGGGGGTCTTTATTCACTGGAGCATATGTTGATTTCTTGAGGGTGGCATAATGCAAACCTAAAACTCATATTCAAACAAAACAAAACAAAATTAAAACTAAATGCTCAGTGTTATACCCAACTGTTTTTTTTTTTTTTTTTTTAAATGTAAAAAAGGTACCTGGGTGGCTCAGTGGGTTAAGTATCCTACTCTTAATTTTGGCTCAGGTCATAATCTCAACGGTTTGTGAGTTCAAGCCCCATGTCAAGCTATTTGCTGACATCACAGAGCCTGCTTGGGATTCTCTCTCTCTCCCTCTTTCTCTCAGCCCCTCCCCCACTTGCTATCTTTCAAAATAAAAAAAATTAAAAAAACACCGAAAAACTTAGGGAAGAAATAAATGTACCTTGTTGTATCAAAAGTCTACCATATGTTTGATCTGAGAACAAACCAACCCAGAATTTTCAAAGTATAGGCTGACCTGAAGCATACTTTTGGGTTTGACCAAATGACACTACTCATAGTACTCAGTTATGAATACCTCCACATAAATGATTCTATGAAAATCTGATAATTTACAGAATGAATTTTATAGCAATAACACACGTCCCATAACATAAAATGCAAACAGTCTATCATTTGAAGGGCAACAGATGATTTTTGCCTCATAAAGAAAAACAGAATTCAACCTGTAAACCCTTCACTGCCTGCACAGCCCTCGTCTGAGTGTTCTATGATGTTCTCCCAAACCCAAATATACCTACCGTTCCAGCCAGGATATCATGGGGGCAGCAGTCCAGCAGGTGACTCTTGCAGACACGGTCATCTGTAAACTTGACCCTCTGTCTGGTTTCGTCTCCTGAAATTCATTTGTGGTTTTAAATAAGACAATATTATCACGTTAAACACAAAAGCATATCTGGTACAACAATTCACCTGGATGATGGGCAGACTACGAAATACAATGCAAAGCTGATCTAGAGATAATTTACAACGGGAGCGGAATACAGATGTTTTTTGATGCTGAATATATCATGAAGAATCACACTTAATGAGATCTGACTCCATCATTGTGCCAAAGAAGTCAAGGAATCTGAAGTAAGAGGCTGAGCACCAAAAGGCCATTAACCCCACATGTACATGTGGGCAATGATACCAAAACCCATGCTAATCAGAGGGCCATGAATCACCACATATGATTTACAGCTGGTAGTTTCTCCACCAACAGAAGCTACATGTTAATCTAATCATTTTGCTATGGACAAATGAATAGGCAGTATTTTGCCCAAAGTCACAAGAAGGAGAAAGCTCTCAAACTCTACCACTGACTGATAAGATAATCTAGACCTAATCTTCCTATCCCCCTTAACCCCCACCCGTAAAAAAGAGTTGGCACCGGGAGTCACTTATAACAAGACAATAGCAAAAAAAAAAAAAAAAAAAGGAACTAGGTTAGTCAATACACACTGTGAGTTCCAACACATACTGTACCCATCTGCATTCTTCAAGACCTCAGCTGTAGAATTTTATGCCCGCTGTTGAAAAGTTTTAAAGGAAAAGTTTTCTTGCCCAACCTGCAGTAAGGAAGTCAGGGGAATGATACATAAAAGTAAAGGCAAAGTGGAATGTGACAAATTTTAAAGCTAATCTGTGTATCCACAGAGCTGTGTAATACTAGAGGAGGAATATATTTTAGGATTTGCAAGCATCCAGGATTAATGTTGTGTCTTTTTATTGAAAATGTTTTCTTTCTAAACTACACTTTTAAAGTTATTTGTGAAAAAAAGCAAACACTTTTTTGTTATAACAGCTTAGAAATTGGTTGTGACTCACGGCTCGATGAACATGAGGCTTTTCTGCAACTCCCTTGCAGATTGATGTAGGCAGGCAAAGATACACTGAACCTTTATAAATAAAATAGAGGGGCCACAATTGTTCAGTTTGTATGAAATAAAAATATGGGAAGCAATTCAAAAGCAACTCAATATACAAAGAAAGCTAAAAAAGCACTATTCCCTTACGAAATAAAGTGCAAAGAATCTGCACAGCCCTGCGAATGTGTCAATGTGAACTTACAACTTCATTACTTCAGTAGAAAAGAAAACACAAACCACAGCAGGTGTACTTTTGCGAGGTGCAACCGCTTTCTCCTGAGACAACCATCAAGATCTTTCAATCCTCCCTGCAGCGATCATTGCACAACCTACCTAACGACTGCCAAGCGCTGGCTAAAGAGAGGCTCTCCGCTGTGACCAGGGGGGAAGGGGGCTGGAAAAGCACGCGGCAGGAACCCACGTTAGAAAAGCTCGATTTACGGCACCCCTTGGTACAGAACAGGAACGGCGGGGGTTTCGAGGCCCATCCGGCTCCCTCGGGTGTACGTGGCCTCCTCCCCGAGGAGCCTCGGAGGAGCTCCACCACCCGGCTGTCAGCGGCCCGGAGCCCACGCTGGCCCCAGCCCTTCGCCAACGCCCCGGTGCGCGGCGCGAGGCCGCGGGAGCGGGGAGGAGTCGCGGCGCGGGACGGGGAGAAAGTCGCAGGACCGCAAATGGGGACGGGGCTGGAGCCCCACCGTCGGCGCGGGCTCCGAGGGAAGAGCCCGCCGGGGACCCACCGCCTGCGAGGGAGGGCCTGGCCGCGGTCGCCTCCAAGGCAAACCGGCTCAGACAAAGGCCCGGCGCCTGCGGTCGGCGCGCGGGGGAGGGAAGGGTGTCCGGCGCAGGCGCAGACGGTCGCGGCCCCCGCCTCAGGCCGCCCGGCGGCCTCGCCTCACTCCTGCCCAGCCCCTCGTCTGGCCGGTCGCCCCGACTCACCGTCCCGGGCCGTGCCCATGAGCTGGTCCAGGAGGGCCCGCATCTGCGCCTGGGCGGACATGATGGCCGGCGAGGGCGGCAGGGATGGCCGCGAAGACTCCTCTCGGAGCACCAGCGGGGGTGGCGGCGGCAGCAGCTGCGGCGGCGACGAAGAACGCTGCTCGCGTCGGCCTCGAGCCCACTTAGCTCCTTCCCGCCGAGAGGGACGCCGGGAGGAAGTGCGTCAGTGCCGGCGTTGAGGCTGTTGGGAAACGTAGTTTCTGAGGGGGGATAGGGAAGGAAACGCCGCCCTGAGAGAGACAGCAGGAGTGGTCCAAGGAAGTCGTGCAGAAGGTGAAGCCAAAAAGTCCCAACCGTCGTTTTATTCTAGGGCCCAAGACCTCTGTGTTCTACTGAGGTTAAACTAAATAAAATAAATATGGACAATACAAAACGAGAAAATAAATCTCAGGTGTTTTCTTGCTGGCGATGAAACCCTTTTACTGCGAGACTCCCTTTTTTCTCTACTGTGAAACGGGGATTCTAATGGTTCCTGCCCTAGGACTTGTGAGAGTTAAATCAAGCCTGGTGTTAATGTTGGATTCTGTGATTACCAGTTTATGGTAGTCCTTCTGTGAGCTCAGTGGGCCATCCACCAAGGCCATTCTAGCTCTAGCCACACCAGAGAAGGCCCATGCGGTACTCTCCCTTGAGTAGAGCAGCCAGCCACGTGAAGGTAAGTTGATTACACTGGATCCTTTTTACTCTGGGCAGACAGTGATTCACCCTTACGGAACTGTCACCTCACACAGATGTGTTTGTTCTTCCTGACAACAGTGCCTCCACACCGGCACACACATCCAACAGCTTGCAGAATCCATGGTCATTGACATGGGATCCTGCACAACACTGCCTCATGCTGCAGGATTCTGGCGCACAGAGTCATGACACCGAGGCTTTTCTTTCCAGGAAGCAAGTTTATTCCTGCGGCACTGCTCAGCTGGGGTCGTACCCAAAGGACGGAGCGGCCCACATCGCATGGAAGAGTTTTTTATGCATTTCCTATTTCTTTGTCTCCCATACATGGTAACACACATAAACATGCATGTCTGATTAAGTTGTCTCAGTTTACAAGGCCATGGGGAATGTAGGCACCTAGGCGCATATCTAGGTGACCTTGAAGTCTTCTCTTTTTCTCTCTCCTTAGGGAGGGGTCCCTACCACACTCACATCAACAGATATGTTTCATGGTAAAGCAGATCAGGTATTTACCTCTGTGTAGCAAGCCACTTAAAAAACTTAATGACATAAAACAGTGATGATTTCTCATTTCTCATCATTCTGTGGAATTCAGGCAGGAATTAGCTAGGCCTGGGCTCTCCTACTCTACGTGGTGTTGGCTGAGTTCACAAAATTGCTGGTATAGAACTGGGCTGAGGTCCAAAGTTTCACTGACATGTCTGGTTCCTCTGCGACGCTCCACATGGCCTCTCTCTGTACAGAGATCACGTCACTCAAAAGTGAACATGTAAAAATTGAAACACTACCTGTGTAAAATGACAATATTAATAATAAATTAGTTTGTGGGATTTAGCAAAAGACTAATGGGGCGCCTGGCTGGCTCAGTCAGTGGAGTATGCAACTTTTGGACTCACAGTTGTGAGTTCAAACCCCTTATCAGTGTAGGGATTACTTAAAAATAAAAACCTGGGGCACACGCATGCATGGTTCAGCCCATTGAGTGTCCAACTCTTGATTTCAGTTCAGGTCAGGATCCGTGGGTCCTGGGATTGAGTCCCATATCAGGCTCTGAGCTGGGTGTGGAGCTTAAGATTCTCTCTTGGGGCTCCTGGGTAGCTCAGGTGGTTAGTCTTCCACCTCTTGATTTTAGCTCATGTCATCATGATCTCACAGTTTGAGTTTAAGCCTCATCTTGGTCTCTGCACTGGCAGGCAGTGTGGAGCCTGCCTGAGATTCTCCCTCTTTCTCTGTCCTTCCTCCACTCACTCACTCTCTGTCTCTCTCAAAATATATAAACTTTAAAAAAAAAAAAGATTCCTGGGCGCCTGGGTGGCTCAGTTGGTTAAGCACCCGACTTCGGCTCAGGTCATGATCTCACTGTTCGTGGATTCTCACTGTCTCCCTCAAAACTAAATAAACGTTTAAACAAGGTTTATTTATTGTTTATCTCTCTCTTTTTGAGAGAGAGAGAGAAAAGAGAGCACAAGTGAGCTAGGGGCAGAGAGAGAGGGAGACAAAGAATCTGAAGCAGGGTCCAGGCTCTGAGCTGTCAGCACAGAGGCCGATGTGGGGCTCGAACCCAAGAACCAGGAGATTTTGACCTGAGCCGAATCTGATGCTTAACAAACTGAGCCACCCAAGGGCCCTGATAAATAAAATATTTAAATAAAGAAATAGAAAAAAGTTTAGAAGACTGAGAAAATATTGAACAGCAGCAGCACATTAGTCAGAAGGATGAGTAATTAAAGAGTTATATGGTCCTAGAGATGCATGATATTGTTTAAATTTAGGGACATCTGGGTGGCTCAGTTGATTAAGCATCTAACTGTTGGTTTCTTTTTTTTCTTTTTTTGATGTTTATTAATTTTTTTAAGAGAGAGTCAGAGCACGAGCAGGGGAGGGACAGAGAGGAAGACACAGAATCAGAAGCAGGCTCCAGGCTCTGAGCTGTCAGCACAGAGCCCATTGCGGGGCTCCAACCCACGAACCGTGAGATCATGACCTGAGCCAAAGTCGGATGCTTAACAGACTGAGCCACCCAGGCGCCCTGAGCATCTGCCTTTTGATTTCAGTTCAGGTCATGATCCCAGGGTTGTGGGACTGAGCCTCAAGTTAAGTCTCAGCTCGGAGCCTGCCTAAGATTCTCTCTCTCTCAAAAAAAAAAAATTCTCTCTCTCCTCTGTCCCTCCCCGTGTGAGCACACACATGCTCTCTCTGTCTCAAATAAAATGAATTAAAAGTAAGATTTATTATTCCTTAAACTCAGTATACATAAAATAAGCTTGGAGTGCCTGGGTGGCTCAGTTAAACATCGTACTCTTGATTTTGGCTCAGGTCAGCATCTCACGGTTCATGTGATGGAGCTGAGTCAGACTCTGAGCCGGTAATGGAAGAGTGTGCTTCAGACTCTCTCTCTCTGCCCCTCCCCTGCATGCACAGTTTCTCTCTCAAAATTAATGAACTTAAAAAAAAAAAAAGTATTCCCTTTAATACTAGGTACAACAATGCCCACAATTGCTTCTATTTCACAGTCAGCTTGGAAGAGAAAGAAAAAGAAATTAGAGACACAAGAATTGAGGAGGAAGAAACAAAATCATCTTTATACAGATGATATGATGTTGATAGAGCCTTCAAAAGAAGCCACCAGAAACTATTAGAAATGAATTTAACATGGTTGCTAGTTAAAAAACAACTCATGGAGGGGCGGCTGGGTGGCTCAGTCAGTGAAGCTCCAACTTTGGCTCAGGCCATGATCTCAGTTTAGGAGTTCGAGCACTGTGTCAGGCTCTGTGCTGACAGCTCAGAGCCTGGAGCCTGCTTTGGATTCTGTGTCTCCCTCTCTCTCTGGCCCTACCCTGCTTATGCACGCACACTCTCTCTCAAATATAAATAAACATTTAAATAAGTAAATACATAAACCAATGTATGGAAATTGTGGGGTCTCCTGATCAGATGGGGCCATCATATGTGAGGCATCCCAACTTGGGGAGGCGGGGTGGTGGCAAAGGTAGTGAAAGAATTCACCCAAGGGGTCCCTGGGTGGCTCTGTAGGTTGAGGGTCTGACTGTTGACTTCAGCTCAGGTCATGATTTCACAGTCATGAGACGGAGCCTCGAGTCGGGCTCCATACTCAGTGTGGAGCCAGTTTGAGATTCTCTCTCTCCCTCTGAACCTCACACATGCCCCTCCTCTCTCTCAAAAAATAAAAAGTTCACCCAAAGCAGAACAAAAGAGATAGAAGTTTATTGAATTTATTGAATACACCACAAGGGAGCAACAGGTGGGACGGCAGAGGAGAGACTGTCCTCAAGGGAGGTGGTGGTGAAGGGCCACAGGCAGAGCGAGGGATTATGGGAATGTGTGGAATTCCCCCTTTTTTGGTAATCTTAGGAACTGTGCCTGCTTGTTATTGGTCAGCTAGGGCCTATGGCTATTTTGAGGTGGGCTGCATTATTAATAAGCCTGTTTGCAATCACCTTGGTGGCGGTCGCTGTGGGCCCTTTTACCTCGATCAGGTTTCCATTGCTCAAGCCTGCTGACTGAAAGCACCCTCTACAGAAATGTATACGCTATTTCCATGTGGCAGCTACGATGAAAAACAGTACTTTTTTAAAGACACCACTTTTTTTTTTTAAGATTTCATTTTTAAGTAATCTCTACATCCAACATGAGGCTTGAACCCAAAACCCTGACATCAGGAGTCGCATGCTCTACTTCCGCCTGAGTGAGCCAGGTGCCCCGAGAGACACCATTTTCAGTCGCGCTGAGAGCCACAAATGCCTAGGAGTAAATCTAACAAAAGATTCAAAAGACTTTTATGCTGGAAATAAAATATCTTGGGCCTAAATCAGGTGGTTAGCCTGTGCCCTCACTTAAAAAGACAGTATCTGGGGGGCGCTCAGGGTGGCTCAGTCGGTTAAGCATTGACTTCGGCTCAGGTCATGATCTCCAAGTTCATGAATCTGAGTCCCACATCGGGCCCTCTGCAGTCAGTGTGGAGCCTGCTTTGGATCCTGTCCCATCTCTCTCTCAAAAATAAACAAACATTAAAAAAAAAAAAAAAATCCCAGGGGCGCCTGGGTGGCTTAGTTGGTTAAGCACCCGACTTTCGCTCAGGTCATGATCTCGCGGTTGGTGGGTTCGAGCCCTGCGTCGGGCTCTGTGCTGACTGCCAGCTCAGAGCCTGGAGCCTGTTTCAGTCTGTGACTCCTTCTCTCTCTGACCCTCCCCTGCTCACGCTGTCTCTCTCTCTCTCCTAGAAATAAATAATATTAAAAAAATAAAAAAAATTTTTAAAAAAAAGATTAAAAAAAAATCCCTATGTGGTCATTTTGTGAAACTTGGCCTGTTTGTAAAAAAGTTTACTCAAGAATAAATGGCTATGCTTGGGATTCTGTATCTCCCTCTCTCTCTGACCCTCCCCTGCTCACACCGTCTCTCTCTCTCTCTCTCAGAACAAAAACATTAAAAAAAAAGAATGAATGGCTAAAATTCATTAACGTAAGAAAAAGGTGGTGGAGGTGTCTGTCCAATTAAATATCACGAACAGGATGTTGTAACAGAAACTGTGTAACTGAGATTCTTTCCACACAAAAATGGAGACAATGACAGAATAAAAGATCCCAGAAAGCAGCAATGGGGAGGTTCCCTCACGTTCTCAGCGCTCCTGGAAAAGCCCGGGTCTCCGGGACCCTTCACCTGCCCATCTGAGAACTGGCTCCGCGACCGTGTCTTCGCGCTCCGGAAGCGCAACTTCCCTCTTCTCCCCGAGAGCGCCAAGCGGTTAAGCCCTGGATTCGGTGGCGAAGCACCGGGAAAAAGGGTTCTCTTTCCACGTGTTTACATGTCACGGAAGGAGAACCAGGAGCTGGACACAACTCTGGTCCTAAAAGTCGAGACGAGACAGCGGGGCTGTCTGGGCCCTGAACCAACTCATTTACACGGAGTGCCGAGGGCTGGCGCGGGGAGGAGCCCCTTGCAGAGGGAGGAGGTAACCAACAGGAGAGCCCCTCGGCTCCGGAAGGCCGCCTGCGAGCCCTGGGATGGCTTTCGTTAATAAAGACACTCACGCACATCCGGGTTTTTAAAAAAAGAGGGCCGGTGCCCTTGCACACTGCCGGGGAAAAGAGACTCAACTCAGCAAATGTCACTGGGACTCCGAGTTATCCAAACGATGCAGAAAATGAAATCACCTCCTAGCATCACACTAAAACTATTCTAAATCGAGTTTAAAACTTAAATGTTAAAACGGAAACTTTAAAACCGTCGGAAAAAATGCGGGAGACTTGGCCGGGGGTAGGGAAAGATGCCTCACACAAGGCACAAAGAGCACTAACCCTGAAAGATTGATACATTTTTCTACCTTAAAATAGAAACCTGTGGACTTCAAAGGCCGCATACACGCCCAGACGCCAACCGCGACAGTCACCACGCGCACCGACGGCAGGGGCAGGCGCTTCAGGGAGACGGCGCGGCGGGCAGAACGTGGGCGCGGCCGCCCGGACCCGACGCCGCGGAGGTCCCACCGCGCGGCCCCGCCCCGCCCGGCTGCGGCCGCCCGCGGCCACCGCGAGCCGCTCAGCGGCAGCGGCGGGCAGCGGCGGGCAGCGGCGGGCAGCGGCGGGCAGCGGCGGGCAGCGGCGGGTCGCGGGGTCCGGATGCGCTCTGCGCGCTTCCGCCTCCGCTCCGGCCGGCCGGAAGTGACGCTCGGGGGCGGGGCTGACGAGTGCGGCGGCAGGTGAGTGACCGCGGCGCGGCTCGCGCGGTGCCCCGCCTCTTCCCTGGCGACCGCGCCTCTCCGCCCCTGCGACCCCGCTGCGGGGAGAGGCTGCGGGCCCCAGGGAGCCTGCCCACGCCGTGGCCCGCCTCCCTCAGCATCGGGTCCACGCGTGTGCGGGCCGCTCCGCCAGCCGTCCGGTCCTCCGGCGGATCAGCGGGTCCGACCCCGCAGCCCGGGCTTCAGTGGCCGTCAGCTCAAGCCCCAGTTTCCCCAAAGACAGGATTTGCTCCCGGTAGGAAACTTCCCACCCTTCGTTGGCTGCACAGTAAGTAAGCCAGTCTTTACTGTTTGTGTTACTAAGGGTGCTGCGTTGGTTGCCTGAGTGTAATTAAAAATACGAAAACAGAGTGGGCTTGAGAATTCTCTCACAAGGGTCGGAAATTCCCGAGGTCACTCTCATCAGGACCTATTAGGCCGGCCAAGTAGCCCGGAGCTCAGCTGGCATCTCTTCTTGTGTGGGGGAGATCACTCACCAGACAAGCCTGCCTCACTGAACGAGAGCAATGCAGAGGTTGAAAGGGAGACGGCACGGGGGCTCTGAAAGCGTCTCTTGCTCCCCTATGAATTGATTGGCGGTGAGCTGACTAGACAGTCTGACCTTGAGCAGGTATTAGAGTAGGCGATTGCAATTACTTTCGGGTTCTCTTAGAAACCCTGTGATTTCGGCTAGGGAGCTTGTGTTATGTGTTCAGGCACTGGCTGGCAGCGTCTTTTTGACGCCTCCACCAGATTGCCCCACTTCCTTCATTGCAAGGATCTCACAGGGAGCACGCAGTTAGAGCAGCTCCCAGTAACAAATACTGAGCGCCTGCTGGGTGCCAGGCATTGTTCTAGATGCTGAGGGTACAGCTCTCAACGAAAGAGTTCCTGTCCTCAAGCTGCTCCATTTCTATGGAAGGGTACAGATGATAAGTAAAATATTGAGCATGCTAAAGACAAAATACAGAGCAAGGAAGGATGAGATGGAAATGCCCCGAGTATCAAGTGAATGTTTAGTTGTGCATTTTACCTGTTTTCTGGACCTTTGTTGCACTAATTAGAATGCTTTTGGCTTTGCGGCACCAGGGTGCCTCAGGTCGGTTGGGCGTCCGACCTTGGCTCAGGTCATGCCCTCACAGCCTGTGGGTTCGAGCCCCGCGTCCAGCTCTGTGCTGACAGCTCAGAGCCTGGAATCTGCTTGGGATTCTGTGTCTCCTTCTCTCTGCCCTTCCCCCTCCCCTCTCTTTCTCTCTCTTAAAAATAAATAAACATTTTATTTTTTAAAATTTTTTTTAAATGTTTTATTTCTTTTTAGGAGAGAGAGAGAGAGACAGCGTGAGCAGGGGAGGGTCAGAGAGAGAGGGAGGCACAGAATCTGAAACAGGCTCCAGGCTCTGAGCTGGCTGTCAGCACAGAGCCCGACGTGGGGCTTGAATCCATGAACCGTAAGATCATGAGCTGAGCCGAAGTCGGACGCTTAACTGACTGAGCCACCCAGGTGCCCCCCCCCCCGAAATAAATAAATATTTTTAAAAAATAAAGCGGAACACAGTTTTGAAAGATTGGAGGTGGGGTGTGGGGAAGGAGTGCACTGGCTTATAGGTGAAAATGACCACGTGTTGGTACTTGTTGAACCTGAGTGATGGGCATATGGGGCTGTGGGGCTCTGCTCATGAATATTTAAACATTCCGTCAATATGGTTTTAAAAAATAAATAATGGGGGGCGCCTGGGTGGCTTAGTTGGTTAAGCGGCCGACTTTCGCTTAGGTCGTGATCTCGTGGTTCGTGGGTTCGAGCCCCGCATCGGGCTCTGTGCTGACTGCCAGCTCAGAGCCTGGAGCCTGTTTCAGTCTGTGACTCCCTCTCTCTGACCCTCCCCTGCTCACGCTGTCTCTCTCTCTCTCTCTCCTAGAAATAAATAAAACATTAAAAAAATTTTTTTTTAAATAATGGTAAAAAGTAAGTTTAAGTTAAGACATACTGGTCTTGCAAAGTTAATCAAAAGTGATTGAGGAAGAGTTATACTTTATCTTTTTAAGAGCTTTTGCTTTCCGTCCCCTCCTCCCCATATCAGGACAAGAAGTAACACTGATGTGGCAAAGGAAATAAAATCTGCCTTAGAATTCAGGAAAAAGGCTACTCCATGCTATTTTCTGGACAAACTATAAAAGTTATTCTGGATAATAGTTGTCTGAAATGTAGATAGATGTTCATCCTTAACTTAGGAGGCAGTGTGAACTGTCTTGAATCACTTTTTTTTTTTAACTTTTTTTAATGTTTTATTTATTTCTGAAAGAGAGAGAGAGAGAGAGACCGCATGAGCAGGGGAGGGTCAGAGAGAGGGAGACACAGAATCTGAAACAAGCTCCAGGCTCTGAGCTGTCAGCACAGAGCCCAACGCGGGGCTCTAACCCACAAACCGTAAGACCATGACCTGAGCCGAAGTCGGATGCTTAACCGACTGAGCCACCCAGGTGCCCCTGTCCTGAATCACTTTAAAATTTTTTGCGGTTGTAAAAATTTGAGACTTGTGAGCGCTGACTGCATATGCTGTGATATATTTGCCTTTATCCAGGAACTATGACCTTAAAATTTGTTCTCATTTAAAAGACGATTAAGGGCCTGCTCGGTGTTTTGAGATTGCTTACTTGGTGACGAGAGGAAATACTTGTTCATCTGTAAACAACGGGACACTGGCTGTCATTGTCTGGCTTCTGCTTTGCTCAGCCAAAAGCTTGGCGCCGCCTGGTTGGATCTTGTGGGTGCCTCTCAAATGCCTCAGGTTGAACCACTGCCAGAATGTTTGGGCCACTTTGGCCATGACACGGGCTCTCTAATGTAAAAGACATTCATAAACGACTCCTATGTTTAGCAAGCAGCTTCACGGATAAGCATTTGAGCACAAGTGCTATAGAATTGATTAGTGATGCCAGACCCCGAATTGTGTACAGAGATTGTACAGAAGACAGTTGTGCTGCAGGATCGTACCTCCTTGTCCAGGGACAGGGCCCACGGAGAACTGCCACCCCATTTCACTGACCTTGGCCGTGTCCACCGTGTTTGAACAGGGAATGTTGCAGATTCTTCCTACCCTAGACAAGTGCTCCATCTGCCCTGGGGGCATCGTGAGTGTGGGCGGTGGCTAACCCAGGTCACTGGTGCTCCCATACAACTCCCCAAGGCCAGACGCTGGTCTGGCTGGGGCTTGGAGAGAGAGGGCTGCCCGGGCGGGAGCACCATGGCGTGGGGAGCGTTGAGAATCCGTAACCCTCCCTCGTCAAGTCCCAGCATAAGCCAGGTGGGCAGAGGCAGGTCTCAAGTCAGACAGCACAAATGCCCAGTGACCCTGTGACAAGATGCAGCATATTTTCTATATACTTCTTACCTTTAAGATAATCTAACAGCGGGGCGCCCCGGGGGCTCAGTCGGTTAAGCGTCCGACTTCGCTCAGGTCATAATCTCACGGTTCATGAGTTTGAGCCCCATGGTGGGAAGTCCAGTCAGGGTAAGACTTCATCTAGAAACACTTTCTTCACGTTCCTTCCCTTGAAAGTTTTCTTATTCTGCACGAGAAAGACTGAGAAACCCACGTAAATCCTAGGAAAGTGCAAAGTCCTGGCTCCGGGAGCCCACCTGTTCGTCATGTTAGGTTCACACTGGGACTGAGAAACCTTTGGGTTATTGGCTTGTGCCTGATTTGAATCTTCCAGAGTGCACACACCCTTTCTCTCCCCCCCCCCACCCCTTTCTGAAGCAAACCTTCGTGTGCTGGGTATGGGAGAGAGGACACTCAGCAGCGAAAACTCCTGTCCTTTGGGCGCTTACATTGTCACCGTGTTGTTGGGCTTTCGTGACCCTTATGAGCCCCGGCATTTACTTTGTGCTCCGTGCGTTTGGGGGGGGGGGTCACTGTAAGTGAGTTATACTGAAGAACTACAGTATCTTCCTTTTTCACAGTGGGAAGGAAGAGGATTGCGGGGGATAGTTTTCAGAGAGCCGGGCATTATTTTGAAATAAAGAATTGTGGCAGGTCAGGGAGTCTGCCGTTTGATCAGAGCCTTCAAGGCACCACAGCACAGAACTCCACTGCTGTTGACATTTCGGCCAAAACCAAACCGAGCAAAGCACACACACTTCCCCGGGCTTGAAACAAAAGAGGCCCCTGCTTAGGGAGCTTAGAGGCGTCACCAGGGCTGCCCATGGGGAGGCTGGCTCTTCCTCTTGGCCTGCATGGAGCTCCGACCCCCGCCCTATTGCCAAAGGCTTTCTTTTTTTAACTGTTTGTTTTGAACTAATTATAGACACACAAGATGTTACAAAAATCGTGCAGAGCCTCCCTCATGCCCTCCAAATGTCTTACATAACTGAGCACTTATCAAAAGCAGAAAATTGACCTTGGCACAGAGCGGTGAGCCAGGCTGCAGACCTCACTCCCTCTTGTCTCACTAGTTTTTACATGCGCTCGTCTGTACGTGTGTCTCATTGTGTGAATCTTTATCACAAGCAGTTGTTTGTGCAGCCGGCAGTACAATCCAGACACAGAGCTGACCCATCGGGACAAGAGACTCCCGAGCCACTGCTTCATACCTGCTCCCCGGTCCCTTCCTGGTCAGCCAGTTTCTGCCCAGCATGGCTGCGCCTGTGTGCCGTGCGCTAGACGCCCCCGCTCAGCTCCAGGGTTCTAGAGGCAGAGCTGCTGGATGTAATTCACTGTCGTTTCCTGAAGGAGTCGATGGTGGGGTTATCCTCTCCCCATCTGGCCTCCTCAGCTTGTTTTTAGGTAAATAAACTTGCATTATTGGGTTGGGTGTGTGGTTCCTATTTAGTTTTCTCTCAATGGAAACCTTCAGAGAAGGATCGCAGTATCTTTTATCTATTTGTTAATAAAGGTTTTGTTTTTAGTTTATTTATTTAGAGAGTGCTCAGGGTACAAGGGGGCCGGGGCAGAGAGGCGGTGGAGGGACGCAGTGAGAGAGAAAAAGAGAATCCCAAGCAGACTCAGCACTGTCAGCCCAGAGCCCGCCAGGGGGCTCTATTCTCACAAACCATGAGATGATGACCTGAGCCGAAATCAATAGTCGGGACACTTAACCCACTGAGCCACACAGCCGCCCTTGTTATAAAGTATATTTAATGTCACTGGGACAAAGTCTTGGAACTCTATTAATGATTAAGAACATGTACTGTTCAGGGCGCCTGGGTGGCTTAGTCGGTTAAGCGTCCGACTTTCGCTTAGGTCATGATCCCGCGGTTCGTGGGTTCGAGCCCCGCGTCGGGCTCTGTGCTGACTGCCAGCTCAGAGCCTGGAGCCTGTTTCAGTCTGTGACTCCCTCTCTCTCTGACCCTCCCCTGCTCACGCTGTCTCTCTCTCTCTCCTAGAAATAAATAAAAAACATAAAAAAAAATTAAAAAAAAAAAAGAACATGTACTGTTCACAGTGCTTAGCTCTATCAAATGACTTAATCAATCACAAGTGGTTATTGAACCAGTATCACCGATAATACGCCTATCAATGCACTTGCTTAAAGATACATGTGTTTAAAAAGTGAAAATAGGGCCGCCTGGATGGCTCAGTCAGTGAAGCGTCTGACTCTTGATTTCGGCCTAGGTCATCATCTCTCGGTTTCATGGGTTCGAGACCCGTGTTGGGCTCTGCACTGAGAGTGTGGAGCCTGCTTCAGATTCTCTCTCTGTCTCTCTCTCTGCCCCTCCCCACCTCTCAAAATAAATAAATGAACTTTTTTTAAAAAGTTTTTTTATAAGAGACTTTTTTAAAAGTTTTTTTTTTTTAAATGTTTTATTTATTTCTGAGAGACAGCGTGAGCAGGGGAGGGTCAGAGAGAGAGGGAGACACAGAATCTGACGCAGGCTCCAGGCTCTGAGCTAGCTGTCAGCACAGAGCCCAATGCGGGGCTCGAACCCACGAACTGTGAGATCATGACCTGAGCCGAAGTCAGACGCTTAACCAATTGAGCCACCCAGGCGCCCCCCCCCAAAAAAAAAGAAAAAAAAAAGTTTTTTAGGGGCACCTGGCTGGCTCAGTTGGTGGAGTGTGTGACTGTTGATCTCAGGGTCCTGAGTTAGAGCCCCACGTCAGACATAGATTACTTTAAAAAAAAAAATCAAAATGGTTGAATGGCTACATTTTATTTTATTTTTTTAATTTTTTTTTTTTTTATGTTTTATTTCTAGGAGAGAGAGAGAGACAGCGTGAGCAGGGGAGGGTCAGAGAGAGAGGGAGTCACAGACTGAAACAGGCTCCAGGCTCTGAGCTGGCAGTCAGCACAGAGCCCGACGCGGGGCTCGAACCCACGAACCGCGAGATCATGACCTAAGCGAAAGTCGGACGCTTAACCGACTAAGCCACCCAGGCGCCCCCAGAATGGCTACATTTTAAAAACAACAGCAGAGAAGGTTGCTCTTTATTTAAGGTAGACAGAGAGAGCTGGAGAGGGGCAGAGAGAGAGGATCCCAGGCAGGCTCTGTGCTGTCAGTGTAGGGCCTGAAGCAGGGCTTGAACTCATGAACTGTGAGATCACGACCTGAGCCAAAATCAAGAGTGGGATGCTGAACCCCCCAAGCCACCCAAGCACCCCAGTTTCAGATCAGTTCATGACCTTCTACAGATATCTCAGTGGCTGGTTCAGTTTTAGACACCAACATCTGTCATCTCCAATGACGGCTCCCGCAAAAATGTCTCCTACAGCCGCCTCCCTGGCCCACCGTGGTAATAGTTCTCTCTCGGCCGAGCCTCTGGGGCGGGGGCTGGCCCTGGAAGCCTTGGGCTTGTGTTCCCGCGTCTCTGACGCACGGCCGGGTTGTAAATGCTGACAAGAGGCACGCCACCCGGCCTCCTGCTACTGGTGACCATATGGAGAGCTTTCTCCCCTTCTGCTTCTAAGTCTTGCCGTGGAAGCAGGTAGTGGTGCGGGGGAAATGCACGCTATCTGAGCTCTGGGCTCCCAATCGAAAGCCGGGTCACCGAGAGAACGGCAGTATTCCCTCTGGTTTTGCCGCCAGATGCAGCGTTTGGTCTCCTTCGGCGACGTAAACCGTGCAGGAGAAGCAAGGGTCTGGGCTTCGTTTCCACCTAGCGGTCGGATTTATCACTCGGCTGTTCTAACCGGCTGAGCTAACAGGCCAGCCGCTCCAGTCACATTTTAGGAACACACCTTCTGCTTGACGGTGCACAGAGTATTTCTGGAGGGAGCCATTAGAAGCCAGTAACACGCTTCCCCTCACGCCTGAGGGCCACAGAAGGGGGTGAGAGCAACACTTCTGCACCTCTCAGAGCCTTACCACGTGTATTTACTGCTGACATAAAAAGCCAGACAACAGCAGCAATCATTGTTTGGCCCTGGCCTCCGCTCTTGGCCTTAGGGACCCCCGTAGTTTAGGGATTCAAAGACTGATCAGGGAAGGAGCACTCCGGCCTCCTAGGCTGGGCTCTACTAAGCTTGCCAGGAATTCCAAGGAGAACAACGCCCAGAATACAACCTCCAGCAACCCGGTTGAAGGGAGAGGCCCTTCGCCCTTTGCTTTGCTTTCCCTCCGGGCTGGCGGTGAGGAGGTGGGGTCTCCCTTCGCTGCGGGGGCCAGAAGACTGGAGACAGCTCACCGCCACCGGCGGTGAAGGGGGGTGACCAGAGCCAGAGCAGGACAGACCTCGTGGCCAGCGCTGCTCCACTCGGCCTTTCCCTGGATAGCGTTGACCACAGCCCCTGCCTGGAACCGCCACCCAGATTGGTTTACTCGGGGTGTGGCCGCGGCGCCTCATCAGGATTGTAAAAGCGGCTCTGATGTGGATCCAGGGCCCGGAGGACCTACGTCCTCAGCCAGTGCATTTCGCCCGCGGCCTCGCGGTCCTGAGATCGCCTGGGCTCGTGCAAGCGGTTTCCCTGTGCGGACCAGTCACCCGTCGGACCCGTAGCCGTGCAGAGGCTCCTTCCACAAGGTGGGTGTGGGAGACCAGGCGTAGGCCGGGTGAGAGTCATTGTGTCACTCTGAATGGAGCCCAGACTACGTTCTTACGTCGTCTTAGGGTGCCTTTCCCCCTGCGCCCTGGTGGACACCCTGCTTCTGACAGGAAGGGCAGCCGCAGCTCAGAGACCTTGAGCTTCCTGCCCAGTGTGTTAAAGCTCTGAAGTAAGAGCATGTTAAAGATGGAGCTTTTAAAATCTGGTATTTCATGGGGCGCCTGGGTGGCTTAGTCGGTTAAGCGTCCGACTTTCGCTTAGGTCATGATCTCGCGGTTCGTGGGTTCGAGCCCTGCGTCGGGCTCTGTGCTGACTGCCAGCTCGGAGCCTGGAGCCTGTTTCAGCCTGTGACTCCCTCTCTCTCTGACCCTCCCCTGCGCTGTCTCTCTCTCTCTCTCTCCTAGAAATAAATAAAACATAAAAAAAAAAAAATCTGGTATTTCAGCATTCTGACCTCTCATTCAGTTTTCTTTCCTTTGCCAAAGGAATGCGTGTGTTGTAAATACGTCGAACACCCTCCCCCTGCAGACACGGTGTCTCGATCCGGCCAATGAGCGGCTCTCCTGACGGCCAGGCCTGATCCCGGTTCTGCTTCGGCTCGGCTCCTCGCTTCTCCTTAGCTCCTGCCCCACTTCCCCACCCCATGCCGGGCGCTTGGGCGTAATGAGGTCCTTGGTCATGAGTCACTGTTTGATTCTCTTGTGTCTGACTCATTACCCTGCACAGGCACACCTTTCCTGACTTCCATGACCTTAAAAGTCAGGGCTGCACAGAGGAGAATGCGCACAGCGTCGTTTGGTTTTCTTTTTAAATTGTGGTAAAGTACCCTTAACATTTAACACCTAGAATTTACCCTTAGCGACACGGAATACATTCAGTGTTCTGCAGCCGTGCCCACCGTTTTTACCACCCCGAAAGGAAACTGCGCACCCATCTGCAGCCTCGCCCTGTCCCCCCTGCCCCCCAGCCCCGGTAACCAGCCATCTACTTTCTGCCGTCCTGGGCTCACCTGTTGCGAACATCTCGCGTAGATGGAGCCCTGCCATGGGCCGGCTCCGGTGTCTGCGTGCCTCGCTGAGCATGGGGGTCTCCACGGTCCGCCCACCTTGCAGCAGGGGTCATTGCTTTGATGGCCGAATACCATCCGTTGTGCGGACTTGCCACAGTTGGTTTATCCATCTGTTGAGGGACATTTGGGTTGTTAGAAAGAATGAGGCCATGAACACCCGTCTACGAGTTTTTGTGTGAGCGTGTTGCCAGTTCTATTGGGTGCACACCTAGAGCAGGGACTGCTGCATCACAGGGTAACTGTGTAAACATTCGAGGGGCTGTCAGACCGTCCTCTGCGGCGGCTGCACCGGGTCCCATGGTCTCCACATCCTCACCGACGCTTGTCATCTTCCTTTTCTTTTTAAATATTTATTTATCTATTTTGAGGGAGAGACTCAGGGAGGAGGAGAGGCAGAGAAGGGGGGGAAAGAGAGAATCCCAAACAGGCTATGTGTTCAGCGTGGAGCCCAGTGTGGGGCTCGATCTCATGACTGCGAGATCATGACCTGAGCTGATAATCAAGACTTAGATGCCCAACTGACTGAGCCACCCAGGTGCCCCTCTTTTTTTTTATTTAAATTAAAGCTACCCCAGCCTTCCTACATGGGCGCCCGTTTCCATCTGTGCCTCAGGCTGGTGGGAGGCAGGTCGGGTGCGCCGGACCACTCGCTGGTGGCGCTGAGTTAATGTGTAACGCACAGGTTTTCCATTGTCGGCAGCCCCAGCCCTGCCCAGTGCCGGCCTCGTCGTCAGCAGGCAGGAGACGCTGGGGTGTGACTGGTGAAAGTCTTCCCTGCGTGCTGGCTCCACACAACCAATTTGCCAATTAAAGACTTTCTTAGGTGGCATCTGTGATACCCTAAGCATTTATGTAGCTCTTGTTTCTTGGGCCAGTGGTCCACCGTCGTGGCTGCAAGCAGGCTGAGAGGCTGAACACAGCAGAGCCCAGCAGGCCATCCAGTGCGGCAACCTCTTGACTGTCCCTGTTGTGTTGACGCAGTGACCAGGAGTGGCGCTCTGGGATGTGCACGCAGTGATGGACAGCAAGGACTTAGAAGCCGAAATCCACCCCTTGAAGAGTGAAGACAAGAAGTTGCAGGAGAATCTGGGAAACCAAGCAAAAAAGGATAACTTGAAAGGCTCGCCTCGGCACCCCCGCCTCTCCCGCTGCCGGACTGTGGCATTTTTTCTTTCACTGTTTGTCTGCCTTTTTGTGGTGTTCGTGGTTTCGTTCATCATCCCCTGTCCGGACCGGCCCGCGTCTCAGGGGGCCTGGAGGATCCACTACAACGCAGCAGGTGTGCCTGGGGTGGGGGAGGGGGCGGCATCGAGTCCCAGAGTCCGGGGTGGCCTGGGGTGGCTGACAGTTCTGCGTCCAGGGTTTTCTTGGAACTGTAGGGTCTGTGGAGCAGCCTCTCGGTAAACGTGGGGGCACGACCGTGGAGCCTGCTCTCATTTTAGGAAGGATGGGTTGGGTCAGTCAAGGAGAGCAGCCCATCTGGTTATGTTTTGGAATTTAAAAAAAGTAATAAAGCAGAGCACTGGCAACACAGGTGGAGGGGAGGTCGTGGAGGAATGAAATCTCCAGATCTGATAGGTCCGGTTTCCTGAAGCGCTCTGGCTGACCTTCCAGCCGGCTGAGCCGGACTCCGGCACACTTGGCCTCTCTCGGGAAATCCGCAGTCTGGAATCGTGGCCTTCATGAAAAGCCACCGAGTCCGCCCCTCTCTGGACACCCTGCTTCGTTCTTACGGCCGGGGCGCCTGCACCGCACGCGAGCGGGCACCGCAGAGGCTCCGTGACCGCTGCCGGGGCAGGACAGGGAGGCTCTCGTCTCGCCCCATAGCCAGTTTCATTCAGAGTTTCATGCCTCAGTTTGAGAGGGAGGAATAATACATGTTTCTGTGTTTATTTTTGTAGCTTTTTTTGAGGTATAATTTATATGTCAAGATATTCACTTGTTGTAAGTATACGATTCAGTGATTTTTAGTCAATTCACAGAGCAGCTGTGCAGCTGTCAGCACGTCCCAGCTTCAGCAGATTTCCATCACCCGACAGGGCTTCTTGCCCTCTCCACGCCCTCCCCCAGCCCCGGCAGCCCTTGTTCACCCCCTGCGCCCGCACACTTGCCTCTTCCGGGCACTTCATGTAAACAAAGCCATGAGACCTGTGTCGTGGAGCCTGGCCTCCGCACAGAGACAAGTCTGTCGGTCACAGCATGCCCCCCTGTTCTTCCTAGTGCTGAGCAGGGCTCCTCCGTGGGGGTGTTCTTTTGTGGGTGGACACTCGGCTCGCTTCCACCTGGTGGCTGCTGCGAGTAATGCAGTGAACTTGGCTGCGTGGGAATTGAGTCCTTGTCAGTTAATTTGGGTAAAAATGGGTGAAAAATTGGGTTAAAAAAAAAAAAGGCAGTGTCTCCTTGTGGTTTTGATTTAATGTCCCCAATTGCCGGTGACGTTGAGCATCTTCCGGGTGCCGTGGCGATCTCTGCCTCTTCTTGGGAGACGTGCCTCTTCGAGTGCTTTGCCTGTTTTTGCACTGGGTTGTAGACTGATAGGCATTGCCTCTTCGGGGTGTCAGTCCCTTATCAGATATCTCATTAGCAAATATTCTCTCCCACTCCGTGGGTTGTCTTTCCACGCTCTTCACAGTGACCTTTGATGCCCATAAGTTCCAAATTTTGATGAACTCCAATTTTCTAATTTTTCTTTTGTTGCCTGTGCCTTTGGCATCACATCCCAGAAATCATTACCAAATCTAGCATCATGAAAACTTTTCTATATATTTTCTTCTAGGAAACTCTTTTTTTATTTCTTTTTTTTTCCTAATTTTTTAAAATGTTTTTTTATTTCTGAAAGAGACACCGTGAACAGGGAAGGGTAAGAGAGAGAGGGAGACACAGAATCTGAAGCAGGCTCCAGGCTCTGAGCTGTCAGCACAGAGCCCAACGTGGGGCTTGAACCCATGAACCGTGAGATCATGACCTGAGCCAAAGCCGGATGCTTAACCGACTGAGCCATCCAGGCGCCCCTCTTATAGGAAACTCTTAAGTTTAGCTCTTTGATCCATTTTAGGTTCGTTTTTGTATATGGTGTAGAATATGGGCCCAGCTTCGTTCTTTTGGCGTTTGATTATAACGCATTTAATTTATCATTTGAGTCCTTAAACAAAGGTAGGACGCAGATACTTACGAGTAGGGGAGCATGGACTCCTGGACCCCAGGCTGATGGTGGGAGGGGTTCCTTCCTGAAGGAAAGGTGTTCAGAGAATGCACGTGTGCACCCCGCATCCTGCTGACATCTGATTTCATCCATCGTGTTCGTGAAGGATGCTGGTGCCACGAAGATGCCGTTCTGTGTGCTTTTGCGCTGGCACGTGCTAACTACCACTAAGCCTCAGGGAGCACAGACGTAGGCCGAGTCGGGGCACCCGGCTGGCCTTGGGGAGCACAGACGTAGGCCGAGTCGGGGCACCCGGCTGGTGCAGTTGGAAGAGCACGTGACTCTTGAGCTCAGGGTTGTAAGTTCAAGCCCCATGTTGTGCAGAGAGATTACTTAAGAAAGAAAAGAAACGTTTGTTTTTGTTTTTTTTTTTAAAGTAGGTTGTGTCGGACTCGGCCTGGCCGTTACACTGGGCCCGGCTTGAGGACTGTCCTCTGTGGTTTTCTTTCTCAGTCACCTATGACTTCCTGGCTACAGAAGACATAAACAGGGACAGGATCCAAGATGTTCTCTTTCTTTATAAAAACACCAACAGCAGCAACAACTTCAGCCTGCCCTGCACTGACGAAGGTAATGGGGTTTTTATCTGAAAAAGGAGGAACTTCCTGGAGGTGGAGGAACCCTCCCCTTTGCCACCTGTGAGGAGGGCAGATCGTGGGGTTTCTGCAGACCCTGCCCGCCCAGCAGGACTAGCAGGAGCCAAGGGGGCAGGCCCTGGTCCCCGCACCCTGACCCCACGGGGCCAGCACCAGGGTCCCCGGAAGCCCAGGGGTAGCGGCCCGGGCCCGGAAGCGGGGTGTGGGGAAGAGGGCCTGACACGCCCCGCAGAGTCGGGTCTCTTCCCTCCAGGCTTTTCTTCCCCCTGCACCTTTGTGGTCGCAGTGTCGGGGGCCAATGGCAGCGTGCTCTGGGAGAGGCCCGCAGCCCAGGACGGGGCCCTGGTGCAGTGTGCTGTCCCGCAGCCTCAGGGCAGCAGGACGTCGTCTGCCTGCGTCCTTGCGGGCAGACCCGGTTCCTTCGTCGCTGTGGACTCGTTCACAGGTAGGCGGCTCCACACGCCGGGTCCCCCTCCAGGCAGCTCTCAGGAGGTTCAGCCCGTGTTCTTGGGGCCAGGGCACAGGGTGGGGAGGAAGGTTCCAGGGGAGGGAGGGAGCCTCCCGGGGATGCCACCTCCTAGCAGTCATGCCCTTCTACCCTGATCCGTCACGTGTCACCGTGGCTTGTCACCTCCTGGTTCAGTCTTGCAGGGCCAGCAGAGACGGGGGGTTCAGTGGCGGCTGCCTTCTGCAGCACCCGGGCCAGTGCAGGTTGAGCCCACAGGGGAGGTGTCGGCCCGTCTGGGCTCTGGATACACGGGTGTCCATATCCGGGCTTTAATGTCACAGGCTGTGGTTAGCCCCCATCCTCACCAGGGTCTTAAGAAATTCTGTGCCCTGACGCTAGATATGCTCAGTTAGCATTTCCCTTACCAGCCATGAGCATGTGCTTTCCTTCCCTGCGTCTGCGCGCAGGCGTCTTCCTGGAGGCCGAGGGCCCACCTCTGATCCCTGTGGTAGTCAGGGGTCCCGAGGGGCTTGAAAAGTGTCAGGGTCAGGCCCTGTCCCTCCACGTGGGAGTGTCAGAACTGGCCCTGAGATGTTCTAGAGCCAGATGTGAGAAGACACGGAGAAGCTCCACAGGAAGGTGGAGCTCTGTGTTTCCAGAAACAGCGCCTCTGTTGTGGCACGTGACCCCGTCTCTGACGGCCAGGGGAGCGCACGCCGCACTTGCCTCCGTCCAACTTCCCGCGGCCGGTGTTCCCGTCTCTCAGTGTGGGTCCTGTGCGACTGCTGGGCTGAGGCAGAAAGGGATTTGGAGGCCAGGCCTCAGGTGACGTGCTTGGCTTTAGGGGAGACCCTGTGGAGCCACCCCAGTAGCTTTGGAAGGAACGCCTCTGTCCTGAGCTCTTTGCTCCGGCTGCCTGATGTTGATGCTGACGGGGCCCCAGACTTGCTGGTTCTCACCCAGGAGGAGAAGGAGGTACTGCTTCCCTCCCGGCCCCCGCGGCCCTCCCTTGGCCCTCTCCCCGTCAGGGTCAGGCCTCTTCTCCACCCCTAGTTCCCTTGCACTTGTTGGCAGAACTGGGGTCTGACCGTTGGTCAGGGGACTCGCCCAGGGCCCTGTGCTCTGGGCATCTGCCGACAGGCATGCTGGGCTGGCTCCGTCCTGACTGGGCAGCTTCTGGGCCTCCCCAAGAATTGGGGAGCCATGTGGGCCATTGCAACCCAGGGGATGGGGCCCTGTCGGCTGGCATGGGGCTGCCCGCATCTCCCAGGAGGGCTTTCAGCCCCTCTCCTCTATGTTCCAGGTTAGCGGCTACATCTATTCAGGCAGCACCGGGCACCAGATCGGCCACCGAGGCAGCCTCGGTGTGGGTGGGACCAGTGGCTCCCTCCTCCACGTCACCAGGACGGGTGCTCACTACATCCTTTTCCCCTGCGGTACGTGGTGCCTGCTGTTTCCAGGACCGCCCCTCACGGAAGCCACGTTCCTGAGAGAGCAGATGCGGCGGGGGGGGTGGGGGGGGACACGCCAACTCCTACTCTCACAGGAAAGATACGAGTTGCTCACTGACAGGCCCGGAAAGCCAGAGGGTCTCCGCGCCTGAGGCTCAGCGAGGCCACCTTCTGTCCTGGCAGCAGGGCTGGGGAGGGGTCTCCTCCCTGCCAGCGGCGACTCGAGGCGCCTGTGTTTCCAACAGCAAGCGACCTGTGTGGGCACTCTGTGAAGGGTCTGCATGAGAAGGTGACCGGGACCGGGAGCCCGCTGAAGAGAGACCCGCTCTGGGAGGGCACGCTCAACGCCACCGCCCACGGGCTGCTCTGGCGCAGGTTGGTCTGGGCGGCGGATGGCGCAGGTGGCCCCCACCCGGTGCTCGGAGCCGTCCAGCGGGCCACGGGGCAAGGCCCTGTCTGCCGCCGGGCTCCAGGGCTGTCCCGGGCTCAGCCACGGGAAGCGGGCCTACAGCACCTGAGAAAAAGCCCGTGGGAAGGTAGGTTCCCAACAGTGGGCACACCCTCACCTCTGTCCACAGCCAGGGCCTGGTCTCCTCTTAAACTGGAGAAGCAGGGAACGTGGGCGGAGCCCGCAGCTTGAGAGACGCAGCCCAGCGCGCAGCCCGTGGGGGTGGGTCCTGCCTCCCACCTCTGTGTCCCAGCCGCATCCCTCTGGCTCTCCTCCCTCAGCCCCGGAGCCATCCGCTACCTGATGGCCGTTCCAGGGAAGGCGGGTGAGGACCTCCTCCTCGTGAGCTCAGAGGCCTGTGTGCTGCTGGATGGGCAGGACCTGGTGCCCAGGTGGACCCTCAGCGCGGCCCAGGTCCTGAGGTACAGCGTCTTCGTCCAGGAACCGCGCGGTGACTGCAGGCTGGCACCCTCAGCCTGCCCCTCGGTCACGGCCCTGGGACGAGGCCGGCCGTCGGTGGGGGAATGCCCGTGTGCTTCTGCCAGAGGCCTCCTGCCCGTTAGCTGGTGCGCTGCTGCACGGCAGGGGCCGGCGCTGTGCTCTCGGCCCTGGCTCAGCCTCCCGTGCAGGCCCCAGTGTGGGCAGGTGTGGCCAAGGGCAAGGCCGGGGTGTGCCTGTTGCCCGGTACTCCCTCGCAGAGGCCCTGTGTGAGCTCTCCTGCCCTGTCTTCCTTGCAGAAGACCCGTCCTTGGCTACTACAAACCTGACACCTTGGCTGTGGTTATTGAAAACAGCACCGGCATTGACAGACAGGTTGGCCGCACCTCCTTTCGAGGTCCCAGCTTTGTTCTTAGTTGATGGACATTAGTCTGAACAGCCCACAGGGCTGCACCGGAAGACGGAGCTGGCACAGGAGGGGCCTCCGCGGGATGTCCTGCTTGCCTTTGGGGAGTAGCTCCTTCTGGGCTGGCCCGTGGTCCCTGTGGGCCCTGCCTGCAACCCTCCATGCTGTCCTCTCCCTCCCTAGATCCTGCTCCTGGACCTCAGCACAGGGGCTGTCCTGTGGAGGCAGGCCCTCCCGGGTGTCCCCGGGGACCCGCAGTCCGCCAGCCTGCCAACCGCAGACCACCGTTCCGCCTTCTTTTTCTGGGGCCTCCATGAGCTGATGGGCACCAACCAGACGGTACGGGCGGGGCGGGTGCTGAGGGGACACACCAGTGCCGGGGCCACAGACCAGAGGCTGGGCGTGGTGCTGCCGTGAGGCACCGGCGAGCTGACTGGGTGGCTGGACGCGCACTCATAAGTAGAAGCCGTGGGACGGGGTGGCCACGAGGGAGGCCGTTGCCTCGAGCAGACGATGGGGACTGGGGAAGAAGGTACATGAAGGAGGGAAGGTGCGGATTTCCAGCCTCAGAAGGGTCGGGAGCCTCGTCTCCAGGCGGTTGGAGGAAAAGGAGCGGAGGGTGGGTGCAGAGTCGAGACCCTGTGGACACAGCTCTGGGCAGGGGCACTCTATCAGGGTGTCCTGTGATGGCAGGCGCTGCACAGCCCGGCCACTGAGCCGAGCACCTGTCGTCGGCTCACGCGCCATTGCCCGTTCTTGCTGTAGGAGCCGGGAGACACCCAGCACAGCCTGTACATGTTCCACCCCACCACGCCTGGCGTCCTGCTGGAGCTGGCCAGTGTCTCGGCCAACATCGTCGCATTCCGAGGTGAGTGTGGCCTCGCGTGGGCCGAGGGCCTGGCGCTGTCGGGTCCTCTCGGGCCGGTCCTGACTGCCGTGATGGCCGTGTCTCCCGTAGCCGTCCTGTTTGAGCCCAGCCGCCACGCCGCCTACGTCCTCCTGACGGGCCCTGCTCACCCGGATGGGCCTGGCGTGGTCTCCGTGGCCAAGCACAAGGTGCGCGACCTCGTCCCGGGCAGCAGGGTGGTTCGCCTGGCTGAGGGCGGGCCCGACAGCGACGAGGCTGTCCGGGACCGCTTCTCCCGCCTGCGCTACCGCAGCGGGGCCTAGACGCCTGGCGGCCAGCACGTGCGCAGGAGGCTCCGGCTGCCGAGATTAAACACCACGGGAAGTCGGTCTTTCGCTCGGTTTGCACACTGACCTGTCTCCTCCCCGTGTGCCCGGGGTTGTGCGTGGATGAGGGGACCGCCGGGCCTCCCCCTTTCCTGTGCCGTAGGCCCTTGCTCTGCCCCACTGGGGCCGTGCTCAGGGCCAGCTGCCTTCACCGGCGTCTCCCCGGGCTGCCTTGGGCAGAGCCGGGCCCTACGGCACCAGCCTCCCTCGTCCACATCTGGCTGGAGAGGCCAGGCCTCTGGGAGGAGCTCCGTCCTGAGCAGGCCTCTCCCTCTCCCATCTGCACCCACCCTGGGGCCTGCAGTGGCCTCGGGGCAACAACTGGGCGCTGAGGCGGTTCCAGCTCCTGGCCTCTCCCAGAGCAAGGGGGGGCTAGACTCCGCTGTGGTTCCCGGACACTGGTCCTGGGGTCCCCTGTGACGGGCCCATGAGGAAGGGGCTGCCTTGGGGCTGCTCCATGAGGCTGGCCTGCTGCTCGCGGAGGTGCCGAGGGGCATCTTTATCCCTGTGCTGCCTGTGCTGTGAATGTTCTGAGGAACCGGCCGGAAGGCCCACGTTGGGGTCAGTTTTTGTGCCCCTCAGTACACACTGGAGCTGCCTGTCCCTCAGGGGTCCCCACACCCCGGCTGGTGCCTGGCGGCCTCCTGGTGCTCAGCCGTCCCTGGCCATCAGCATCACCTGATGCGGGACTCACCTCTGTGCCTTGCTGTGCCCCAGACCCGTTGCGGTGCCGTGTGGGGCTCGCTGTTCCCCGATGACCCCGAGTACCACCAGAAGAAGCCAGAATAAATGGTTTGCACTGTCTGAAAGAGTGCGCCTCGTGTGTGTCTGCTCCGGAGCGACGAAGTGGACGCGGTGCTGGCCGGGCCGCTGGATCACAGAGCAGGTCGGGGGACCGCCCCCCCCACCCCCCCAGGTTCCAGGTGTGGCCCCGCCTACCCGCCCAATCAGCATCAGCCATCAGCGGCGGGGGCACGGGGGCTTTTCCTTCAGGGCCTCTAAGTGCAGCTCAGGTTTGAAGACCTCACCCTGGTCTCTCGTTCGAGTCCAGAACGCAGCCTGTGGACGGGGATCCGTCCCCACCAGGACAGGCAGGGGTCCTGAGCACCCTCTGTACTCCTCAGGCAGCTGTCCAGGCAGCAGGAGCCTGGGCAGGGGGCTTCAGGGAGACACAGCTTTGCAACCACGGTGAGGATGGGGGGTTGTCAGAGAGTCTCAAGGGACGTCCTGTGTGCCTCTGGATACGAAAAGCCAGTTTCTCAGCTGCACAGACCGAGGCCTGGGAGGGACAGTGCGGGGGGCGCCCTCTGCCAAGGAGCAGGTCCCTCGTTGCTGTGAGAAGCCACCTGGTCCACACAGCCTTGAGCATGGCGGGGCTGTGGTGGCCAGTGCACAGACAGGAGCCGCCGGCGGTGGCGTGGGGCTGGTGGCCCTGGCGGTGCCAGGATCGGGATGCGCCTGCGCAGGGGGCCCCCCCCCCCCCCCCCCCCGGCACAGGTCCCGGGGCTGTGGGCAGGAGCGAGGCACCGGCCCTGGGAGATGGCTGCACTGGTGGGCGTGTCGCCCCACAGACGATCGCTCTGGGGCCCTGAGCCATGCCCGGCTCCCTGCGACTCAGGCCCAGCCAGGAGACGCCGGCCTGGCACCAGGAGCCCGCACTCCCCACTGGGGCACTCGGGCACCCTCGTCCTGGCAGGGCACGGGCAGCATCCCCCCCCACCGCTGGGTCTCCTCTGAAAACCCAAGTCTGCGCCGGAGTCCCTCCTCTGCTCCCCACATGGGACCCTCCCTGCCGACGCCTTTGACACCCAAACCCCCCCAACGCTGTCCTCCGCCACAGCCCACCTCGCAGACGCTTCACGCCACAGGCCTCACACGCCACACGTGCGCACCTCACGGCACACACGACGCACACTCCGTGATTTGGACTACAACAGAGTGGGCTCAGAGTGCGGCCCGAGGTCTTTTATTTCTGGGCTGGGCGTGGGTGGCAGCAGGAAGGGGGCACTGCTCCCTCTGGCCCCACAGACTTGTGCTCCCAGAGCAGCTGCCCTTCACCCTGGGTCTGGCTTCCCCTTCTCCCCCAAGGGCTCCGCCTGCCCTGGCCGTGAACTAGGGCCCGCTGTCACCCGGGTGATGACATTGGGGCTGTCTCTGGGCAACTCTGGTGGGGAAGCCACAGCCTCGAGGACGCCGGCCAGAAGTGCCCCTGCGGGACGAGGCGTGGGATGGGCACAGTAGCAGCCGCAGTGGGGGGTGGGACACAGGAGGGCGGGGCCAGGCTGGGCGGAAGGCTGAGGCGGTCCCAGCAGAGTCGGGGATGTGGTGTGGGGACCCCACAGGGTCACACTGGGCGGAGTGCAGGTAAATCCACCCCGAGGCCTGCATTTCTCCCTGACGGCTGCCGCTGCTGGAGGCCACGTGCTATTTGCCAGCAGTTTAGTGGTGCTGGAGGTGGGGTGGGCGCCCAGCCCTGAAGTGCAGCCCACAGAACGTCGGGGGCTTTTGTGGCCTGATCTCGTTTGCCCATCTCATCCCACTTCTCTGCAGGTGGCCCAGGCCACCAGCATCTAGACCAGTTCCTTCTGAGGAGGACAGGGCTTGACAAGGGAAAAGGTGAGAGCCCAAGAGGTCTGTCTGCCCCACAGCAAGGCCAGGCCCTCTGGGCACGAGGTAGGGACGGTCCCCTTCCCCTTCCGGCACCTGTGCCCACCTAGGCGCCCCCCTCTTCACACTCAGGGCCAAGGGCAGCAGCCGCAGGCTCCCCGGATGCAGAGGCAGGAAGCAGAGCCGGGTTGGGGCTTGAATGCGGCAGCTTCCGTGCGAATGGGAACACGCTGTGGGCAGAAGGGGACCTGAGCACAGGGCAGCGGTGAGGCCCCGGCCGCCTCATTGCGGCGTCTGCACCGCTCTGGGCACGGGGCGCACAACAGCTCACCGCTTCTTGGCCTCTGGGGGAACCACGGCTTCAGCCAGCAGGTCTCTGTACGCAGCAGACTTCAGGAACCTCGGGTAAGAGTCCTGCAAGAGGTGGCATTCCATCGGCCCCTGCTGCCGGCCCAGCCTGGCACGCTGGGGGCCCTGGCAGCCCCGAGGCCCCCCACAGTGGCCAGTGCTGGAGGCGACCGGCCCAGACCTTCCCAGACCAAGTCGGACACACCTGGGGGGAGCTGGGCTCCTCTCCAGTTTACCCACAAAAGCCGGGCAGGGCCCGGTGCCCATGCTCGGAGGAGTGAGCCCTGGTAGCTGCAGCAGGAAATCCCAAGTAGTGCCTCCCCCGGCTCTCTGGGTGCCCGGAGCGTGACGGGGAGGCCACGGAGTGAAATGAAAAGCAAGGTCGAGAAACACTGTATAATATGCGATAAAGGAGGAGAGAAATCGATGAACCAAATTGCTTCTATTTTTAAAGGAAAAATAGAATTTTTTTTAAACATTTACTTATTTTTGAGAGACAGACAAAGATCATGAGCTGGAGAGGGGCAGAGAGAGAGGAAAACACAGAATCCGAAGCAGGCTCCAGGTTCCGAGCTGTCAGCACAGAGCCTGATGTGGGGCTTGAACACACGAGCCATGAGAACATGACCGGAGCCGAAATCGGACGCTTAGCCGCCTGAGCCACCCAGGCGCCCCAAGTAAAACATAAATTTTAAATAGTTAATTCTAGTGGGAAGAAAGGAAGACAGCAGAAAGATCAGGGTATCATAACTACATTTACTTGAAAGTACTACCTTCTTTGTAGGTTGCTTTACATGATTATAAAACAAAACAACAGTCAATTCCCAAAAACTGAAAGTAAAGTGGAACCCAGTGGGTGACACCACCCTGACCACGTGGCATGTAGCTGTTGGAGGGGGCGTCCCCCATACGGTACAGGCAAACGACCGAGCAAAGAAAGAGTAAAGCGTCTGCAGGGACTGAGTGGTTATCAGTGGAGACTCCTGAGGGAAATGTGAGAAGCAAGCGAGCGAGTCATCAGGTTAGCATTACTGGGAACCAAGATTTTCAGCAGGTTAGTGAAGACAGAGATGGGAGTCAGCAGGGCTAAGGAAATTCTTTAATCCTGAACCTGAACTAGAAGTATCATGAGGCGCCTGGGTGGCTCAGTCGGTGGAGTATCCAACTCTTGATTTCTGTTCAGGTCATGATCTCAGGGTTCGTGGGTTTGAGCCCCGGGTCGGGCTCTGCACTGACAGGGTGGAGCCTGCTTGGGATTTTCTCTCTGCCCCTCCCCCTACACACATGGGTGCCCTCTCTCTCAAAAATAAATAAATAAGCCTTTTTTTAAAAAAAAAAAAGAAGTTGGGGCACCTGGATGGCTGAGTCAGTTAAGCATCTGACTTTGACTCAGGTCATGATCTCACAGTTCGTGGGTCTGAGCCCCGTGTCTGGCTCTGTGCTTACGCTCAGAGCCTGGAGCCTACTTTTTGGATTCTGTGTCTCTATCTCTATTTCTCTGCCCGTCCTGCACTTCTGCTGTCTCTCTCAAAAACAAAGAAACATAAAAAAATAATAAAATAAAAAAAGAAGTAGAGGCACCCAAGTGGCTGAGTCAGTTAAGCGTCTGACTTCGGCTCAGGTCACGATCTCCCAGTTCAGGGGTTCGAGCCCTGCGTCGGGCTCTGTGCTGACAGCTCAGAGCCTGGAGCTGCTTAGGATTCTGTGTCTCCCTCTCTCTCTGCCCCTCCACTGCTCACACTCTGTCTCTCTCCCTCTCAAAAATAGATTAAAAATAAATAATAAAGAAGTGTCCGTACGAACTCCTGATATATTCTACTTAAAACACTCGTGTTCCTACGTCTGCTCACTGACAGCGCCACCGACAATGCAGGTTACAGTGAACACATCGGGGTGCACATCGCCGCTTCTAAACACCCTTGAAGGAGAGCCAGGGCTCCACGGAAACGGCTGCCTCCAGGTGCGGCGCGGGAGGAGCCCGGGCCAAGCCACCCCACCGGAAGGCACGAGAGCCGCCACACGTTTCGGAGCACGTCAAATGCCCCACCAGCTGGACGGCTGGCCGTCTGCACGGTGACAGTGGGAACCAGAGTGGAGCGAGACCCGCCACCTGGTCAGTGTGGGTTTACAGTGGTATAAAAACACCTCAAACTCCTGACCCCCCTCGGCAGGCACCGTGGGTCCGACCCATTGGTGTGAAACGCGGTGAATAAAGCAGGGATCAAGCACTGATTCCGCCTTCCCTGTACGGCTGCACCACGGAAAGCAGGCGAGGGGAGGCGCCTCAGAGCGGTGTCCCCGTGTCCCCACTCAGAGGCAGGGACGGCCGGCTCCTTGCCGGCCCGGAAGCCTAGGCCGGGTCGCCAGCAGCCAGGGGCTGCACCGGTCAGGAGAGGAGAGGCGGCTGGGCCCTTAGTGCCTCCTGGCAGGAGAGGAGAACACACCAGACGCCGTCTCTGAAGGAGACTCTTGGCAAAAAGGGTCAAGAAAAGGGTCCTGCTCGAAAAGGCAGGACACAGGATCCTCCCCTGGAGCTTCCAGAAGGGCCAGTGCTGCCCACACCGTGGCTTTGGCCCCGGGAGACCCGCGCCAGACTTCTGACTTCCAGGACCATGAGATTAAATTCATGTCGCTTTAAGCCATCACGTTTGTGGTGTGTGTGTGCTTTTTTTTTTTTTTTTTTTTTACAGCAACAGGGAACTAAACACAACACAGATGCCGAGTGGGGAAGCTGCGACTCTGGCTCTTTGAGGACACGGTAAATATCCTGTGTTCAGTGCACGATGCTGGCATCTGGGGTCGTGTTGAAAAGAGAGGGAGGGGTCCACGCCCTTCAGAGTATCCTGAAATATCTACAGGTAGGAAGTCTGGAAATGGCTTTAAAGTCCGGGGGTGGGGGCAGTGGGTGGGGGAATAGACGAGTCAGGACAGGCCCTGAGTTGCCTGTTTCTGAGGCCAGGCGGCGGGTACACGGGGATACGTTACTTTCTATGCTTTTGTTTACACCTGGAATTTTCCACGTTAAAATACTGTTTTTGAGAGAGTGTGTGTGCACATGAGTCGGGAGAGGCAGAGAGAGAGAGAGAATCTTAAACACGATCCATGCACAGTGCAGAGCCTGACACGGGGCTCGATCCCACGACCCTGGGATCACGGCCTGAGCCGAAATCTAGAGTTGGACGGCCAACCAGCTGAGCCCCCTTGGTGCCCTATGTTAACAGTTATCAAAATCAGGGCTGGACCTCTCCCTGAGCCTGTCGCTCGGACCAGCCCTCAGCCTGTCTGAGCCTTGGTGTGCCCATCAGGGAAGGGGACGCAGGCCTGAGCATGTCAGCGGCTGGCCGGGCACCCGCCACGCTCCCAGGGCCTGAGCGCTCACCTTCTTCATCAGCACGTAGATGTGCAGCTGAGCGTCGTCTAGCACGTAGCGGTGGGGCCGCTGCAGACCTTCCAGGGTCCGCTCCATCGTCCGGCTGTCGATGTTGACCCATCGGGCAGCACCAGGGGCCAGGAACTGCCTGCGGAGCAGCAGGCAGAGGCGACGCGGGCCGGGTGGGTCTGGGCCCCACACGCCTGCCCGGGGGCTGGCCGGCACCTGTCCCTCGGCACTCACTGGTACACGGCATCTACCGCGGCGCAGACCTGGGCCTGCCCTCCGTGGCGCAGCTCCTCGCACGCCTCCCAGAAGCTCAGGTTCTCGGCTAGGGGTCCGCATGCCAGGTCAGGTCCACCTGAGCTGTGGCCTTGCTGGCAGAAACCTGGTGGGCGGGGGGGGCGGGGGGGGTGTTCCCAGGCAGCGGCTTCCCTCATGGGGGCCTTGAGCAGGGCAGGGGGTTCTCACCACTGAACTCTGTCCCGAGAAAGTCCATGAAACGGGCCCGTCCCACAGGGTCTTCCAAGAGCTCCTGGAAGCTGAAGGCCCATCGCTCCACACGGAGCCTCGTGGGCACCGCCACACTGGGGGACAGGGCACCGGGACGTGCCGGGGGGGCTGGTTACAGCTCGTGGGCACGGCCACGCCGGGGGACAGGGCACCGGGACGTGCCGGGGGGGCTGGTCACAGCTCGTGGGCACGGCCACGCCGGGGGACAGGGCACCGGGACGTGCCGGGGGGGGGCTGGTCGGCAGCACAAGGGATGCGCGAGGGGCAGGGGACGTGCCCCTGGACTTACCTGGGTGCGTTCATGGTCCAGTAGGTGTCGTCACCTGTGACCCAGGGGTTGCTAGGCAGGCACCCTGACATGATGGGGTCATGCGGCCCACGCTGGCTGCTGAACTTCAGGTACCTGGGGGTGGGGGGATGGTGCCAGGGGCCCGTGCAGGGACAAGCCGTGGGAACAGGGCACTGGAGGAAGGGTCCCCAGCCGGCACCCCTCAGCCCACTCACGCCTCGAGGCACACGGAGGACTTCACCCGGGCCCTGCCCAGGGCCTTTCTGCAGCGCTCCATCTAAGATGTGAGGCCTGTGAAGTGGGGCCTGGCCGGGGGGTCAGCCAGCCAAGGCTCCTCCCTCCCACCCGCTCCCAGGACCTACCTCCTGCTTGTAGAAATCTGTATTCTTGGTCTAGAAGGGACCCAGCGGGCTGTAATTAGAAGGCGGGTGCTGTGCGGACTAACCACCCACCCGGGCTCAAAAACTGCAACCCGTCCCGGGGCTGATAGAGAACGGCTCAGGCCTCCTGCCCTGCCCCTTGAAGCCCCCTCCTCTAATGCAGGGATCTGGCTCTCCAAGAAGCTTCTGGGGGCCTTGAGTCTAGAGACTTTTTTAATTTTTATTTAATTTTTATTATTATTTTTTAATGTTTTTATTTATTTCTGAGAAAGAGAGAGACGGCGTGAGCAGGGGAGGGTCAGAGAGGGAGGGAGACAGAATCTGAAGCACCTCCAGGCTGAGTTGGTTGTCAGCTTAGAGCCCGACGTGGGGCTCGAACCCACGAACCGTGAGATCGTGACCTGAGCCGAAGTCAGACGCTTAACTGACTGAGCCACCCAGGCGCCCCTCAAGTCCAGAGGTTTCCAGAATGTTCCATGGAGCCCTCAGGTTCTCAAAGTTACCTTGCAGTTCCCCAACTGTCGCTACTTCATATTTTCAAATGTATTGAGGTTATTTCGTTTTTTTAAAACAGCAGATACGTGAGAAACACTGCTACGGGGTCCCGCTTGAGAACTGTCTGGCTGACTTAGGCTCCAGGGTGACCTCGGCCAGTTCAGAGGTCAGAACCTGCCTGCCACGTCCTCAGGGCCAGAGGGAGGGGCTGAGCCTTCCCAACACCCACAGAGCCTCAGGACCCCTGGGACCTCCAGCTGCCGCCTCGGCCCTCTTTGGCTGACTCCCTAACAAGGAAGTTACAAGCCTGCGACCGTGAACTAGGACTCCGAGGTCAGGAAGAAGGGATCTGTAAGGCACAGGTGTGGTGCATTCTGGGTTTTGTGGGACTGAAACAGAGGGCTTGGCTGCCACCAAGTTTGGACACATCTGTCCTGGCTCAGTTCTCTCTGGTTCCAGAGGCCACCGGAGTCTGTGCAGGGCGCTGGCTGGCCCGGCCCCGGCCCCTCCGGGCACACCTCCCACTCCCCGGGACCCTGGTGCTGTCCGGCCGGGGAGGAGCCCCCACCCTTCCCAGGGCCCCATGGCACTTACTTGCACCCAGTGCAGCAGGAGGGAGGCAAGAGGTGAGAGTCAGCAGAGGGCTTGGAGTCGGGGTGCAGGGAGGGGGAGACGTGTGCAGGGTGGGGACTGGTCTGGGGGTACAGTGGGGTCCTCACCATCCGCGCCCGCCCAGCAGTGCAGGAACTGCGCTCCGGTCCCTGCTCCAGGACGCTGGGGACCCCTGGCTGCAGAGGGGAGGCTGAGATGAGGTGAGGGGTGCAGCCCAGGTGGGCTGCTGAGACCCAGCCTCGTTTCGTGTTCCTGCCCCCCACCAGCTCCATATACGGCAGCCCTGTGCCCACGTGTCCTTCTTTAGCACGGAAACTACAGGGGCGCCTCGGGGGGCTCAGTGGGTTAAGCTTTGGACTTGGGCTCAGGTCATGATCTCACTGTCCGTGGGTTCGAGCCCCGCGTTGGGCTCTGTGCCTACAGCTAAGAGTCTGGAGCGGCTTCGGGTTCTGTGTCTCCCTCGCCTCTGCCCCTCCCCTGATTATGCTCTAATAAATTAAAACAGAACAAAACAACCAACCATTTGAAACTGTCATTTGGAGGAACTGAAGACGGTGAGCCTCTGGTCCCTGAGCCTCCTGTCTACCCGTCCCCACCCCCACAGTTTGGCCACCTCGGCTGAGTTCACCCTCCCTGCTCCTGACTGCTCAAGCCACAAACCTAACAGCTTTTTTTTTTTTAAGTGGGCTCTATGCCCAGCGGGCTCAAACTCACTACGCCAAGATCACGAGTCACGCGTCCCACCGCCACGGCGGCCGAGAGCCCTCTAGCCGTCCTTCTTGAGACTCACCCGCCACCGCGCATCTTGCTGCCCTGCCCTCAAACGCATTTGCAGGCTCGGCCTCTTCCTCACCGCGGCCCTGAGGGCACAGCCCTCAGGGCCGCTCACCCGGAGGCCCCCCGGCCCTGCCCTCAGCCCATGAGCACAGCCTCGGGCCATGCCCACCCTGCCCTTGCACCTCTCATTTCCCAGAGACCACCCCCCCACACGTGATGGGGTATTAGGCCTGTGGATGGCGCTCATGTTTCCTCTCCGTGGACGATTCCCACAGAACCCCATTCATGCTGGCTGCGACTGCGCCCCCAGACGAGATGCCGTCTCGGGCCAGTCTCTCGCAGCAGGGGCCTGCCCGGCGCCTGCCCGGCCCGTGCCTCTGGGTAAGGCCTCACTGCAGGCCAGCACCCCCCACAAGGCCTTGGCCTGGGACCTCAGTCCCTCGATGCCTGGCCCCACTTTGCCTCCTCCTTTAGACCCCTTCCCGTAGAAGGAAACTGGTGCTGTCCTGTGCTGGGTGGACGGGAGGCAGACTTGGGCCTGGGCTTATGCTCTCGCTTCTGACGGGCCACAGAAACAACTTTCTGCTGGGGCCCCAAAAGCCACATCCTTCTCACAGGATCAAAATGTAGGTGCAGAGAGAGCGTTTGAGGGAAACACACAGACTTCCAGCAAGACCCCATTGCTGCACAAGCAGTCCCCCCAGCCCCCTCCCCCCCCCCCGCACAAGGGGCTTACCGGGGGCCTGTTCACCAGCCAGTACAACTGCTCCTGGCACGCAATGACCAGCCTGTCCCCTTTCCTGCGCTGCTTCGCTGCCCTGGAGGGTAGGTGGAGTTGGGGGGCACAAAGTGCCCACAACAGCACCTCTTCTACCCCGTCCCCACCCTCAGACCAGGGCCTGGGGAAACAGCCAGGGCTTGGTACCACGGGGACCCCCTCGGGCAATTCGCACTCACTGCCCACCGGTCGCGGGCGCGGGCGGGATCTCACCGGAGCTGTTCTCTGGCTTGCATAAGTACCAGGTCCCACGCGTGGCTGATCGTCCTGTGCAGCTGGCCATAGTGTTCCTGGAGGGTGGCCACGTCTCCCCTGGGTCATCCCTCTCTTGTCCAGCCCCGGGGTAGGGACCACCCACTTCCCCACTGAGACGCAGAGGGATCACGAGTCTGTGTCTGCACCACCCCGGGGCCTGGACTGTGTGTGTGCTCCAGGGCACACCGTGAGGCCCTGGGGTCAAGAGCAGGGCTTCGTTCCTCTGGCTGGACTCAGCCCAGGGGAGCGTCCCACCTTCTCGTGGCCGACCAGGGCCCCCTGCTTTCGGATGTTCTTCTTCGCCAGGTAGATGGCTGGAAGGACAGGGGGCCGGGCTTCAGAGGAGAAATCTCCGCCCCTCCGCCCGAGCGCATCGCTTCGGAGGACAGCACTGCCAGCAAGCTGTCCCGGGGGCACCCGCTCCAACTCACCATAGTCCAGCTCAGCAGCGGGCCACAGCGTGCTTGTCCAGAAATAGGGCGTCTGGGACGGTGCAGGGACAGGTGTGTGGGACCGCCTGGGCCTTCCCCACCCAGGACTTGTCCCCGCCCCAGGTCCTTCGGGAAGACGCTGGGTTGCCTCGGAATCTGCCTGTCTGCCCAGAGCCTGGAGACTCACAGACCATCCCCCCCTCCCCCGAAACCGAACTCCATTCACCCCGTGGAGCCCATGCAAGCACTGCCTCCTTGACTGGACTCCCTGAGTCCCTACCGCCCGGTGGGGGGGGGGGGGGGGCTGCTCCAGGCTGTGCTAAGGGTTGCAGCTGAGGACTGAGGGCAAACCCCGCCTGGGCGCCTGCTGTGGCCAGAGGAGCCAGCCAGCACTGGTCCATCCCGACCGCGGTTACACACTGGGACGCCGGACTCCCGTCCTCAGGCCCCACGCAGACGTCTTCATGGGCGGGGCTTACGGATCGGCAGGGAAGCCATCAGAACCCTCCGCAGGTGCTCTACCCTTTATGCACCCCCTGCTGCAGCCTCAGGGAAACTGAAGGTCTCTCCCCTTATCCCGGTCCTTCTATCACAGGACACTTGCCGTCCAGGCCCTTGGGGGAGAAGGGGCAGTGGGCCCAGGCCTGTGGGGACACCACCACGTCCTACTCCAACCCCCTGCTCAGGTCCCCTCTAGCTGGGCTGCTGGGTTTGTGCTTTCCACTTGCTCCCGGGTGGTTGCACCTGACCTGAAATCTGTAGGCTGTGTCATCCGGCCGGAGCACAAGGCTGTGGGGGTCGCACAGCGGGTACAGGTAGCCGTGCCGCACCAGGAGAGTGCCCAGGTGCAGGGCCTCTGGGGGGGGAGGAGGGGGCAGGGTGGCGAGTTCTCAGGCTGGGAGAACCACTCCCAGGGGGCTCTCCCTCCCCAGCACACTTGGCTTGGCCCTGACACCAGTGAGCCCCGAAGAGGCCCAGCCTAGGCCATCAGCACAGTGACCCGCAGGCAGGGGGCGCAGCAGGGGTGAGGCCCGGATGAGCAGGGGGCTGACCCCCTTACCCTCCTCTGAGATGCAGTACTTCTGGATCAGCCACTCCACGATGTCGCTGCCTGCACAGCAGAGATTGGCGTGGGCTAGGGGGTCGGCTGGGGTAGGGCCTCCAGCAGCCCCGGCCCGGCCCCGGGGCGCCTCACCAGCCACCGCGTGCGGAATGACCGTGATGAGAAGGCGCTGGCTCCGCATCTTCACGCCCTGGTCGGGGTCCTGCATGCTCACGACCACCCGCTCCATCTGGGCGAAGGGGGGGCTTGAGGAGCTCTTCAGGTCGGCTTCCTCCCCCCCACCCCCGCCCCAGATCCTGATTCCCCTGAACGGGCGGCCGTGATGCCTGCGATTAGGGCGCTCGGAGAAGATTAACGCGCACGACCGCGGCATCTGAGGCCACAGCGGGAAGCGGAGGAGCGGGGGAGGGGGCGGAGGCTGGGGGCGCCTCCCGCCCCTGCAGCCCGGGCCGTGGCCGCCCGGCCCCGCCCCGCCTCGCACAGCGTCGCCCCCGCGGCCACACTCCCGCGCCCCCGCGCCAACCCCTCTTCTTCTGCGCTTCCCGGCCTCGCATGCCGGGAAACCCGGGGGTTGGCGGGACGCTACCCAGCACGCACCTTGCTCAGATGCAGCGACTGCGCCCCGCCGCGACCGCCGGCCATGGCCGCCGGAGGACCAGCTGGCGGCGGGGGTGGGAGCCGCGGCGCTGCCGCGCGCCCCGCGGGACACGCCCCCGCGCCCCCCACGCGCTCGCAAGGCCCGCCCCCACGCCCCAGACATGCCCCGCCCACGCCCGGCGCACGCCCCGCAGGACCCGCCCCGCGCGGTCCGCGGTGGGGGAGGGGCGCGGGCAGGGTCTGGGGTCTGAGGTCCGGAGGGGGCCCCTCCTATGACCCTCCGGCAGGAGAAGCTGAGGCCCGTGCCCGCGGGAGGGGCTGCGAGGTGGGACGTGGCGACGCCCGCCCTGGGGCCATGGCGCAGAGGGCTGTGCGGGAATCCGGGGTCAGCTGGGGCAGGGCCGGGGGCTCAGAGAGGTGAGGGCCTCCAGGAGAGGGTACTTGTGGGGTGGGGTGGGGGACGGCAGTTCTAGATCTGTTTTAATACTTGCCGCCCTCCCACCCCCCAAGCCAGCCCACATGTGGCCTCCTCAGGACACGGAGCCCCAGGGGTGGAAGGGGCTGTGAGGTCAGGGCAAGGGGCTTGACTGTCCTAGGAGCTGCCTCTGTGATGGAGATCATGACGCCGTTGGTCACACCTGTAGGTGCGTCCGGGCGGCCGCTGCAGGTGTGCTGGGGCGGGAACGGCAGAAGGCTGGCACTGCCCCCAGCTGCCCAGAGGCCTGGGCAGAGACCCCACAGATGCAGAGCGCCTGAGACTGTGGAGGAGGACCCCAGCGCCCCCGCACTCACCGTTCACCTGCAGCCCCCTAGGCTCAGCGCCCTCTCCCGCTTCTCCAATGGCTTGGCCACCACGGCCCAGAGCCGCTTTGCTGGGCATTTGTAAGAGTTTCAAGCAGGGGGCGCCTGGGTGGTTGAGTTGGTTAAGGTCCGACTCGGTTTGTGCTCAGGTCATGGTCTCACGGTTCATGAGATGGAGCCCTGCATCAGGCTCTGCTCTGCCAGCAAGGAGCCTGCTTGGGCTTCTCTCTTTCCCTCTCTCTCCACTCCTCCCCCATTCATACGGGAGCTCTCTCTCTCTCAAAACAAAGAAATAAACTTTTTTTTTTTTTAATGTTTGTTTACTTTTGAGAGACAGAGTGTGAGTGGGGGATGGGCAGAGAGACACAGAATCTGGAAGCAGCTCCAGGCTCTGAGCTGTCAGCACAGAGCCCAACGTGGGGCTCGAACTCACGAGCTGTGAGATCATGACCTGAGCCGCAGTCAGCCGCCCAACTGACTGAGCCACCCAGGTGCCCATTAAACTTTAAAAAAAAGTTCGAACAGGTCTATCTCTGCTTTTTGGAGATAGAGTCTCCCTCCTCCCCTCCTGCCTCAGTGGGTGCTGGGACAGGGCAGGGTGCTTCAGACTGATCCGTTCCCACTGCTGGTGAGGCCAGGTCCAGGGTGAGCTGGGGCGGCGGGGCTGGAGTGGGGGGTCCTCCCTCCACCAGGGATCTCCCTTAGATCCCACTGAACTCCTCCCAGCCATCCCCACCCACACAGGTGGGGTCGGGCTGGTCCCTGGCTGGCCTGACTGTCCTCTCTGGATGAGTGGGCATCCACGGAAGCCGAAGGCCACCAGGGGCCATAGCTGCGCACCTGGGGACAGTGGTTTCCCTAACCAACTACCCGTGCCGCAGGGAAAGGGCAGCAGGCATGAGGCCCTGGAATGGCCTGGGCCCCAGCTGGGGAATCCTCCTTGGAAAGATGGTAAACAGATGGAGCTCCAAGGGGGATAGTCCCCACCCAAGCCCAAGGGCCCCTGGCATCGGTGGTCCTCCTCTGTGGAAATTTTGGGGGTGTAGCTGGGGAAATCGTAACATGCTCCCCAAGCTGGGCTCTGGTGGGGGTACGGGGGCTCCATCCAGGCTAGACACTCAGCGACAGAGGAGCCAAGAGTGGGTGGGCCTGTTTGTGAAGCCAGGGTGGCAGGGGACCTCTCCCTCTTGCTTTGGGCAAAGGTGCTCCGATCCCTGGGTGTGTGCTCAGAAGGAGGTGTGGGGGAGAAAGGTGTAAGGAAGAAGGGGGACCCGGGCTGGCGTTCTGTCTCCTCGTTCTCCACTCATACCTTCAATCCAGCTGTTCCCAGCCTGAGACCCCGCTCACCTCTGCTCCCTGCACTGGCTGCCCCCACCTACCTACCCCACAGTTTGTCCAGACATCACAACCAGAAAGCCCCTTTCATGCCCCATCTCAGCCCTCCAGCACCAGGACTCCACTTCCGGTCCGTGTCTTCTCCTCAAGGACAGGGTCCTTCGGTCCGGTCTGGGTGCACAGAGCCTCCAGAGAGCAGGGCACGTTCACGCAGCCCAGCCCACAAACGCTAGAGTGATGGCCGTGTGAGTCCATGTTGCATCTCGCAATGTGGAGGGACCCCCAGTCTCTGGGTGTGTGGACACGGTCCTCTGTGAGCCTCTGGGATGTGGAGCAGACAGACAGACACACACACACACCAGTCCCCCCCCCCCCCGCCCCACACACACCAGCTCTCGACACACACACACACACACACACACACTCAGCTCCCGAGGCTGGGCAGGCTCCAGGGGTCCCCTCTGCCCAGATAGAAGATGGGGGGTGGGGGGGGCTGTTGAGCCCCAGGTGCGGCCTGCGGCGCCCGCAGGTAATGAGAGCCTAGGGACCTGGCGGAGGAGGGGCAGGGCCGCTCCGCTGGGCGCCCCCACCCCCACCCGCCCCTCCCGGAGGGCTTCCCCGGAGAATCCCCCAGGCCCTCGCGGGCGCCGTAGGGGTGGGGCAGCTCTGACGGACAGAGCGGGGTGCAGGCGGGGCCGGCGGCTGGGGCCGTGACCGCGGCGGCCGCGCGGGCTCCTGGGGCGCCCACGGCAGGGACGACCAGGTGCCGGCGCCGTGCGGGCGACACGCGCGTCTCTGCGGGGCTGCGCGGGGTCCGCGGAGCGGCTGGGGGCGCGCGGCGCGGGCGCGGCGCTGGGCGCGGGGGGCGCTCCCGGCCGGGATGAGCTCACCGCAGTCGCGCCGGGGCTGAGCGCCGAGCCGGGCGGCGGCGGGGCGGGCGGCGGCTCCTCGGCGGCTCCGCGGCGGAGCCGGGCCGCGGGCCACCATGCTGGGCCTGGACGCGTGCGAGCTGGGGGCGCAGCTGCTGGAGCTGCTCCGGCTGGCGCTGTGCGCCCGAGGTGAGCGGGCTGGGCCGGGGCCAGGGCGGCCACGTGGGCGGGGGTCTCGGGCGGGGGTGGGGTGGGGTGAGGAGGCTGCGGCCCGGGGCGGGGGGCTCGCCCTCCCCCGCGGGAACTTTGGGGGCGCGGGAGGGGAAATCGTGGCGTGGTCCCCAGACCGGGCTCTGGCGGGGGTGGGGGGGCTTCGCCCGCGCTAGACACTCGGGGGGGCAGAGGAGCCCAGAGTGGGCGGGTCTGTATGTGGAGCCAGGGTGGCAGGAGCCCCTCTCCCCTTGGGAGCCTGCCCGCCCCCCTGAGGTCCCCTCTCCCTTGGGTGGGGCTAGGGCTCCTTCAGGGCGGGCGGGGATCATTGAGAAGCCTGGAGTGCACTGGGCATGGACTCGAAGACCCTGTCCCAAAACACCGTGGGAAGGGGCTTAGCAAGACCCCTGCTCCAAAGCACCCTGGGAAGGGGCTGTAGGCGACTCTGGGTCTGAAGGCGCCAGGGGAGGTAACCTCAGAGCACAAGCCCAGGCAGGGGTTCAGAGAGAACCCCCTCCGTGCCCCAGGAACACCACCGGAGGAACCCCTGGGACAGCAAGAAGGCTTTCAGAGACGTGAAGGGCAGGGCCTCTGCTCCAGGGGCGAGCTCGGAGGTCGCCACTTCACGGTGGTGGCCGCCAGTCCTTGGGGCTGTGCCCCATTCAGGGTCTTCCTTCCCCCCACCTTTGGCCTCAGAGTCAGGGAGGAGCCCTGGGTGGATGGGTGGCTGGCAGAGAAGGCAGCTGGTGCCCCGGATGCGACTTGGTTCTCTCAGGAGCCTTCTCTCACACCCCCCCCCGCCGGGCTCCTCCTAAAGGGTTCCGGTGTGGGTGCTGCTCTGCTTCCTCCCGGCCCACCTCTCTCCCCTGACCTCCCGGGCACCCCCCCCCCCCGCACGTCCGTTTCCCTACCCAGCCCTCCCCGAGCCTCCGTTGCTTCCTCTCAGTCCCCCTTGGGCAGTGAGAGCCACAGCTGGCCAGGTGGGGGGCTTCGGCCCGGTGAGCGAGGGCCGGGGTCAGCTGGCGGCAGCTGCTCACGCGCCTCCCCAACCCTCAGTCCTCCTGACTGACAAGGAGGGGAGGCAGCTGTCGCCCGACGAGGCCCTGGATGAGGCCGTGCCCGAGTACCGGGCCCCGGGGAGGAAGAGCCTCCAGGAGATCCAGCAGCTGGACCCA